CTGCCGCCGCCGCCGCCGCCGCCGTTGCCACCGCCGCTGCTACTAAATGGGCTCCGAGCGGGTTACCCAACTGTTGCGCCTTCATCAGAAATTTATGCAGAATCCTGGGTTAACCGTCCCGACCAATCAGCTTTGTAACCGACCTAACGTCCTACCGACGAGAGAACGAGACGAGAATAAAAGAGAGAGAGAGAGAGAGGGAGAGGATGATCCGTGTGTGATTTAGTAAAAAGATATTTAATATTTCACGCGTAACGGCGGTCGCGGTCCAAAACTGTTCTCGTTCGAGAATTCTTCTCGTCGATCGGTTATTCCCCAGTTCAAAAACGATTCGCGCACTTTCGTGTCCAATTGTTTTTTCGAAAAAAAACTTCATGACTTACCCACTAGCGCCAGAATTACCGTCACCAGAGAGGCGGCTGGCAACGACACGGTTAAATTGAACTCCAGCATCTGTATGAGTTCAACTGAAACAGATCAAAAAAAAAAAAAGGAACATATTTATTTTCGCATTTATTTACAAGAAAAGGAAGAGTAGGGAAAGGGTGAAATTTTTTACAAGAAATCTGTCACACACTTACGCGCGGTCGCGCAAGTTAAATCGTAGGGACATAGCGCGAACGCTATGTGAAAATCGTTATTCCGGTCGAGGAACGGCTTGTGGGGGTTTAATATTTATCAGGCACATCGTGGCGGAGAGACTTCGCGAGCAGGTTATTACATAAGTTCAGCAACGCCCGTGGAGGAATCGTGTCGCGTTCGACGAGTTGACTCAAAGCTTGATACAAATTAATTTCGAAACTTCGTCAATCTTGATTTAAATTCCACGAAACTTTCTATCGGCACTTTAAAGCTCTTTCTCGCTCGTACATCTCGTATTGATTTGTTTCCTCGCGCGCATCTTTTCCCCGTTAAATATGTTTAAGAAAGAATATACGCATAATTACTCTCGGTGACAGAAAGAGAGAGACAAAGAGAGAGAGAGAGAGAGAGAGAGACACGACCGTCGTGTTTTCGCTGTTACGGCGCACGAAGAAATTGAGAATTGATTTGAGAAGCGCGCGACAAACTTGTATGTTTACGACTACTTGCGGATAATCACATCTCGTCGTCGGAAAATCGTGGAAAATCGAGATCGCTCGGGAATAGATAAAAAATTCACAATCGCGTCGCTCACGTGGGTGCAACAAAGCAATTCGGAAGGTTAATACTCACATGCTGCGAACGACCGTCGCGACGACCGTGTTTTTCTTTAGAGAGAAAGACGCCGAGTAAATTTCTAAGATACGATACTGTACGTAGAGAGACTTAGAAATTTGCGCGACGTTACTTGGCGGCGGTTCAGTTTAATGAATTTTAGATTTTAACTTTTTTTCTTTTTTTTTTTTTTTTTTTTTATCTTCTTCCACGCACTAACTCTCCAGACCTCCGCTTATTAAAACTTGCCGCGCGATTCTTCGCGTCCCGTCCCGCATAATCCCCTCTCTAATCACGCGCCACATGTATATGTGTATTATTCATTTATTTCCCGTTTTTTTTTTCTTTTACGTTAACCGCTTTACCACTTTCTCTTTTGTTCTAATTAGATCGCGCGCACATTATTAAACACATTATAATACGCGCCTGTGAGAGTGGAGGTGTGAATTTTATGTCTTAGCAGTAAAACCACGTTCAAACTTCGAATCATGTGTGTAATCGATAATCTGTTTTACACGCGAAACGAAATTCAGCGTGAAGTTTGAGTTTACGCTTTTTTACCTTTCGCGTACGTTTGTAATATGGAGCGCGTCTTGTTGTTGTTGTTGTTGTTAGAAAACCGTTTAAAGCGTAGTAAACACATTCATGTTTTTTTTTCGGAGTTTTTTGTTTTTACACACAATTATCAACATTGGTCGTTGCAACAAACCGTGAGAATATCTTACAAACGTGAGCAAAAATTGAGAAATAGGCAAAAGAGTCCGGCCCGCGAGTTCTCTGGCGTAAAATATCCAAAACTTGCAAATAGATGCAGACAATATGCCCCGCTCTTCGCGCTGTTTTTCTATGCAAATTTATATTTCAAGCGATTAACCTGCGAAAATAACCTCCCCTCTCTGAACTTTTGCGTTCATCTTCTTTTTTTTTTTTTTTGAGGTAACTCTCTCCGGATGATCAAGAAAAAAATCAAAACAGCACGCGCCGTTGTGTACATGGTTGATTTCTAAGCTCTTAAACTTTGTGCGGCAAAAATAATATAACAACTGTGTAGGAAGACACGATATATATACATAATACGTTTGTTCACACAATTTTTACTTCCAATAACTTATCAATATGATAAAAGATCTGTGATCCCTCAGTAATATTGATAAGAAAATCTTATAATTTCAATCACGTGCGCTATCTACTCTAAAAAACAAAAAAAAAACTGATGATAACTCTGATGATAAAATAGAAAGAGAAAGAGAGAAAGAGAGATGCAAAACATTTGTACATATCAATATTGTAACGTGATTATTTATTAACAATTTTATTTTATATAAAAAAAGTAGCTTTTATAATATAAAAGTAACAATTTTCTCTGCAAAAAAGAAAAGAGAGATAATTGTTTATATATTGTTCAATATGTACATTTTAATACCGCTTTGGAAATTATTATTGACAAAGTTCTATTTGTAAAATGTATTGTGTAAAAAAATATTTTCACAGCTTTTTTTTTTTTTTTAGTTATCACAAATACACTGTGAACACATTACACATTGTTTCAGTCAGTTGTGTGTGTTATTATATCCAATATCGTAAAATGTAATCATTGCGCCTAAATTTTTTTAAATCAAATTACACAATAAACAATCTACGTTGAAGAAAACAACTGTCTAAAACAAAAAATGTAAAATTGTGACGCGATATATTTATATAAAAAAATAATATAGAGAACGTATCTATCAAGTCAATCAATTATCGTAGTCCGCAAACAAATAAGTTACATAAACCACAACATCGACGTTGACCTTCGCGATCTCACTTGATCGCGGTGATTGTTTATGGCAATGCAAGGTCTTTCTTCTTTGATAACGTGTAATAGAATTACTTAACTTGACATTAGATAACAGAGGAATAGAATTACTTAATGTGACATTATAAAAAAATTCTAGACATCTGTTTGCATTCTTAAGTCAAGATTTATATTCTTTTTTCCAAGGAAATCCAGAATCCTCCGTCAGGTACCAACGTGAATTCCTTCTTGTCGAACACGACAGGCTCGACGGTCTTCTCCGTGGTCTTGAAGGTGAATTTTTGCAAGAGATAAGCTATTAGAAGCTTCGTCTCCATAAGGGCAAACCGATTGCCAATACACTTTCTAGGCCCGAGTCCGAAAGGCAGATAAGTGTACGGATTCATACTGTCCTTGTTTTCGTCGTTGAATCTCTCGGGATCGAACTTCTGCGGATTCGGAAAGTACGCGGGATCGTGATGCAGTCCGTAAACGGGAACCATCATTACAGTATCGGGCTCGATAATAACGCTCTTATAACCCGGTTTCGCGGGAGGCAACTCGTAACTCTTCGTGCAAAGTCTGTCGATTATAGCCACTGGTGGATATTTTCTGAGAGTTTCGGAAACTACCATCTCCATGTAAGTCATCTTCGATAACGAGTCGTAAGTGATGTCACCGTTTTCGTCGCGATGCTCTTCTACTTCTTTACGCAGACGTTCTTGAATATCAGGATTGACCGCCAATTCATGGACGGCGAAACACATTAACGTCGAAGACGTGTCAAAACCGGCGAAGAAGAAGATAAAAGCTTGCGAAACAATGTCGTCCAATGTCATTTTGTGAGCGCTCGGACCGTCTTTGTCCCGAGCTTGCATTAACAGGTGAATCATATCCGGTCGAACGATACCTTGTTCCTCGCGAGCTTTAATGGTCTCTCTCACAATTCTCTTGAAAAACTCGGGCACAGCTGGGTCGAAGAGAGACAAGCCGATCGACTTGGAGAATTGCGGGAACGCGCGCATAAATATAAATTTCACCATACTTAGAAATCCATTTGAAAACTTCGTGGCTTGCACTCCTTTCGTGTAAAACTCGTTGTTCTGTTCCTTCATAGAATTGACACTTATGCCGAAAGCGGCTGTGGCAATTACGTCGGTGGTGTATCGTCTGAAGACTTGCTTTGTCTCGATAGAATGACAAAGATCCGGATGATCGACCAAATAATCGACGAACTCGTGAGCGCATTTCGATATCAGTTCAACCATAAGTTTCATCTTGCTGGCGGTGAAAGACGGACTTAGCGTGTTTCGCATTTCTCTCCAACGATCTCCACGCAGAGAGAAAATGTTCTTGCCGAATAACGGATCTATGTCTTCGCTCACGAACAACTGATGATCGTGAAAATGCTCGAACTCTTTTACCATCACGTCTTTGATTAGCTCGGGATCGCGTAGAATCACAGTAGGCGTAGCGAGATCTATTGATCCAAAGTATCTGACATCCGAATGATGATAGTAGAGAGCGTTAGCGAAATCGGTGAAGCTGATTAGACGGAAGAACGGTTTCCACAATAATATAAAAGACTTAAACGAATCCGGAATATAAGGTATGCCTCTTTTCTTCCAGTAAGAGAACAAATGATATGCTTGAAAGAAGAGTCTAAGAACTCCGAGGACTATCAAAGTAGTCAATAACAGCACAAAAGGCGACGAAAATAACGCGGATAACTCCATCCTGCGATGATGATGACACACACACGAATAGCTTCGTTGAACGTCGCGCGGAACGTTATAAATGCAGACCAGTGGAGATATTGCGTAGAACACAGTTAAAGGAGGGGGAAAAAGAACACACTTCACAGAATCATTGCATCATCCGATCCACTCGGTGTGCGCGAAGATATGTACGTAAATCGTATTTTAGATCGCGCGCAACAAGGTTGTTTAAAAGCATCATGTCGTCAAGTTCTCTCTTTCTTTTTCTTTGCAAAACAAAAAGTCATCTAGGTGTGAACAAAAAAAGTTTATCACTTACCGATAAAGACGAAGATCTGATGATGTGAATAACGTAGCAACATCGAAATCGAAACCGTCTGAAACAAAGTGCAACGATACTGTTATCAGATTCAAGTGTTGAGATTAAAATTAAGACAATGTCACGATGTGTCGCAATTACAAAGACGAGATTGCTACTGATTAAAAAGCAACGGAAACGTAATATAAGTTGCGGATATTCTGAAATTTTGCGCCAGTAGCTTTGACAAAGTTACGGCGTCACGTAAATTGCGAACTGGTCGCTCGTAGTCGGTTAGCGGGTTGAGCGAATGTTGAAATTGAATTGCGATCGGTTCAGATTGAACCAGCACCTGACACCCTCGAAGATAATCTGCTATTTGCAACAGCCAGCCTTAGTAACGGGGGTTGTTCGATCCTGTTTTGTACGAGTGCGTAGATGTTATTAAAAACAAAAAAAAATCGGAACAGAGAGAATTAAAAAGGAAGCGATAAAAAAAAAAAAATTATAAACCAATGAAGACTAGTTGTTGTCGGTTGTTATAAATATTTTTATCCGAATAATAACAACTTAATCCTTCTGCTGAAAAAGTCAAAACATTTGATTTAAAAAGTGAAAACTCTTATCTTCGCGCGCGTCTCACTGGGTTTTTATCATAACATATGACAGCGTTTACTGTCAAGATAACATTCACGAGTCATTGTTCGCGTACTGTTTGCTTAATTACGAATTTACATTAAAATATATCGTATATATTTAAATATATATATATATCGTATATATTTAAATATATATATCGTATTATAAATATATATATTGTATATATTTAAATATATATACTCTCTTTTATTTCCCGTCGGACGACACGCAGCTAATAGACATCTCTTATGGTAAATCCGACTATGTATTATAGCACGGTCAATCGAATTCGATATAAGAGATGCGTCCGCTTCACCCCAGAGGGTGAAACGGATGCGAGCGACAAACGCGCAAACACAGAGCGGGGCAAACAAGGAGAAAGATAAAGGAAGAGGGAATAGTATTTCATGCTGGATCACATTGTAACGGAGCGCCGGACGTCGCGTGCACATGACAGAGGAGAATACACGGTAATACGTGCATGACGACAGTCGTGTGCACGTGATTCGACGGCGGACCAGCGGGAGTGGCTCAGGGTGAGCCCTCCAGGCAGCCGGGGGCTCGAATTCACGTGTCGCGACACGAGCGACTCCTCCTTCCCCTCGCCCTTCAACTCTTTACCCGATAAACTCCGATTGACGTCGCGTTTGCTCCACGTTGCAAAGCGAACCGCATTGTCCACCGGTCTAAAGAACAAAATATCTCACCGCTGAGTGGCAATTCGAGTCACGAGGCGGCGATTCTGCAAATTCTATCGCATTTAAACACTACATGAGAAAAGTTTTCGCAACAAAAACGCTGCCGAACAGATTGTATATGCAATTCTTTGCAAAGTCTTAAATGGCAAAAGAAACCAAACCGTTCGAAAATATCTCACGTAATCCAGATCAGAAAAGGTAATGTGTAATTACAGAAAGAGAGCGACGATTTTAATTACGAGCATTAGATGAGCACGCGGAATCATATATTATACTACATTAAAAGCACCGTGTCAATTAAGAGTCTCATCAAGTAACGGTGATCTCGACCGCCGTATGCTGCAATCTATTTCACCACAATTTGATACAAAATTACCGACGTGGGGCCAACTACGACGAATACGACGCCTCTAATAACGTTGATTTATACCCGACGGTTCAACTCCAAAGGGATCGCGCGCGCGGATGAGGACACAGGGGATAGGAAAGCTACGCGCTGGCAAGTTACAGTGGGTGGTTAGCTTGAATTGATTGCTGTATCGTTTTACACGTGTTAGGCCATCGTATAGGTGAGCGTGAAATAGTTCCTCTGATGGAGAGGAATTTATTATCACCGAAAAAGGATATACAAGCCAACTCTATGATTCCATGACATAGAGTAATGTTAGAGCTTAAAAAATAATCATTTCTTTTTATGTAATAAATTTTAGATTTCTTCGCGTAAATACGTATGATAATTTTCACGCGAAGTATCCTTTTGTGTGGATAAATGAATTTATTATTTATATCAACAACCATGTCTTTTGTCAAACAAATTTTATGAGAACTTATGTAATCAATTGATAAAAATATGGACTATAAAATTTATAAGATACTTACAAATACAAGCATAACAAAAAACGCAGCCAAGTACGATGTTCGTGCCATCCACATGCTCACAAATCGATAATGTTCTCCCGTCACGACGTTGCTGTATCAAAAATTTAAAAAGAATATTATTCAACTAACTTATTTCTTATTTCAACAAAATCGTTGTCCTAATGCAGTACGATGATCAACTAACGACAAATTCGATTGGATGCACTAGTGCGCACTGAGTGGCGCCTTCTTTCAATATGTAATAGAATATTTCATTGTTAGTATTTTGCTGCACACTGAAAGAGATCGCACTCAGTGCGCACTAGTGCATCCAATCGAATTCGTTGTAAATTGTTGTTTCATCACAAAAATAAATTACGTTATATTTACCGCAAAAAACCTTTATTGTCTTCCTGTTCGGCCAACGTCTTGATACTCGCCATCAGTAAATCGTCATAACCCAAAAACTCATCTAATATGTATCTTGAAAATCTATCACCAAAACATTTGTCGTTCGACGGATCTAAAGTCACTATTTTGACTGGAATCTTTAGTCTTTGTCGAGCCGCAGGTGATAATCGCAGAAAACCATACTCCAATGAATATTCCACGATATATTCGTCTTCTAGAAATATTAATAAGGATTTTAAGTTAAAAAAAAAAATGACCGTGAAATCAATATACGTAATTTTTTTTTATTACGATTACTTAGCTGTTTTGAGTTGCGTTCCGATATTCACTGTTGATAATGAAAATTTACACACGTCACATGTGTTATAGATTTGTAGTACTGGCAGTGAATATTGAGACGCAACCTTAGTAATGTTCTTACTTTATATTTACCTGATACTTTATCCTGATCTCTTAAAGGCGCATGATCTTTATTTAACTGATCAACTCGAGGAACTTTTGAAGAGTTACTTTTCGTACTTGCAAAAGATGATTTTTCATTGGGTGACTAAAATTATAAAAACAACTGAATTATATATAATTACATATAAAATATAAATATAAAAATAACAAACACGTTTTACATTATTAGAACAGCAATTTATATTATTTATATACGTATATATGTACCGGTTTTTTAGCTTTATTTAAGTCATTCCAAAGCTTAGTCGGTAATGTCGAACCCATTGTTGTATTTGTCGTGCTCAAAGGATCTTGTATCTCTCCGAGGGCTGTGGCACTTATTATATCTTGAGATAATGTTAAATTGTCAAGATTTTCTTCATCAGAAACATTCACCGTGTCCCGAATTTCATCAACAGCCGAAGGTTCAATATTTATAAATCTAATATAAACATAAGTAATGTGAATTTTCATACCACTTAATATCGTTAATTACATTTTTACAGTTTTACAGTGTAGATATATTTAATTATTTGTATATTATTTTAAATATTCTAACATATGTACACACACACACACACACACACATTAACTTACCCATCTCTGGTTAACATTCCTAAAGCATTAGTTAAATCATCAACTTTTTCTTGTCTCAATTTTTCCTCTTTGGCATAGCTTTCCTCTATACTATAATCATCATCACCATTCCTGAGAATTTCAACTCTTAGTATACCATCTCTTGGCCATTCATCTCTTATATGTTCTAAGCAATTAGTTGGTGCACGTGAAAATACTATGTGGATATAAGCCAGTACAAAAAATGCCAATATAGCCTGAAAAGAAAAATTATATTTGTTTTTTATCAAATGTTTCTTCTTTTTTATCTCTTATATTTACTTATCATATCATATAGAGATTATTTTTTTACATGTACAATATATATTTTACATTAATTTTACATTTCAAATGTGTTTGATGACAAATATTTTACACATACCTTTAATAGAACTAAAAATTCAATGAGTCTCCTGACAGGCTTTGGAAATACACGTGCATAACCTAATGCTGCTTTGATAAATAGTGCATGGAACAATCTATCCCGAATATTAATAAGTGGATTTTGATTATTATTATTTCTAGCTATATTGATATTATTGATATTATTATTTAAAACCGGTCCTATTACACCAGCAAGACCATGGAAATTATGCGGCATTGCAACATTTTGGTTACTAGGTGCTGCATTAGCAGCACCATCTCCTTGTGGCATTTTTAAAATTCACATAAGTCAAACTCTCACCAAATGAGAATTCAGAACATCTATAATAATCATTTAAACAATCCTCATGTTTGTATAGATATGCAATTTATCATTCTTAGTTGTCATACATAGACATAGTATCCTGAAACAAACAGACACAAATATATATTTAATTTTGCATATGTACATATGTAATCATTTACGTTTACATTTTTAAGATAAAGTAGAACTTATATATTATCTGGTTAACTGCATACAAGTCAACATCAGGTGTTCTTTTCTTTATCACTCATTCATTCATTTTTCTCTCTCTCTCTCTCTCTCTCTCTCTCTTCTTTTCCTTTCTCTGTACACGACCTACTTTTAATTTTCCATATGGATATTATAAATATCTTTTAACAACTCTGTTTATGTTTACTATGTAAATGTTGTCAGTATAATTATACTGATTATTATATTTTTACTTTTACTAATAAATATATATATAATACAATATTTATTTTTGATAAATATAAAATGACGAGATAAAAACCAAAAATTGTCAAAATGAGTATTGGACACAATTTTGTTCCGTTTTATATATTAAATCACACATGTCGAAGACATAATTGTTCTCTAATAGAGTTACAACAAATATTATCAGAAGTAAACAGTTTAAAAAAATTTCTTAAATTTTATATTGAGACGTAAAAATCACTTCACATAACCTTCAAAAAAATCTAGTTTACGAGCTACATGTTTGCGGTTCATAACCTATTTTTATAGTTACACTTTTTTGAGTGCATATGAAAACAGAAAAAATCGCGTGACATCGCTTTCTTGAGATACCCATGTGTTGAAAAAAGAATTCGGTTCTACTGGTCTTGAAAACAATGGAGCAAAATGTCAAAGTTGCGCATAAAACATGTATGCAAAACAATGAATGCTATTTCATTACGTAATTTCCTGAGTGAAAAAAAAATTAAGACAATAATTCGCAAATCATTCGGACGCGATGGTGGTCGCATTGTGTGCATATTTGTTTTTTTTTTTTTTTTTTTTTTTTTTTTTTATTTTTGCGATCCAAATGGCTAAAGTACAGACGTTCAAAAACATAAAGGACACAATATCGATATGAAACATTTCGCTATTGACAACCTCAAATCAACCGTGCGCATTTTCAGGATATTTTTNAACATGTATGCAAAACAATGAATGCTATTTCATTACGTAATTTCCTGAGTGAAAAAAAAATTAAGACAATAATTCGCAAATCATTCGGACGCGATTGTGGTCTCTTTGTGTTTATTTTTTTTTTTTTTTTTTTTTTTTTTTTTTTTTTTTTTTTTTGCGATCCAAATGGCCAAAAAACAGACGTTCAAAAACATAAAGGACACAATATCGATATGAAACATTTCGCTATTGACAACCTCAAATCAACCGTGCGCATTTTCAGGATATTTTTAAGAATCGAAATCTGTCATATCATACCTCGGTGCGATGAGAATACGAGGGAGATTTTAACGTTCTGGTTCCAACAATAACGTCCAGCAATTTCCCTTATCGTAATACGTCAATCGCGAAAATATGTCACGCTCGATCGTGAGTACGATATTCGTGAAATTGTCACTTCATCGTCGCGTGTTTTGATACACCATAGATCACACCACTCTCTTGCTTTTGCTCACTCTCTCTCTCTCTCTCTCTCTCCCTCTTTCTGCTCCGATCTTGCGCATAAACAGGTTGTCCAACATTATTCTGCCAAACGTGCGTGTGTAAAATCGAGATTCTGAGGATTGCTAAATATAAAACTTTGCATATTAATTGTGCAAAATTGTTGACACATTTACATATATGCGTGCCAGAGTTTTTGGTATACGTAGCGCGTCATTTAAACACAAAAAAACAAATATCAAATGTGGAGTACGCCATGTTGGTGCGTTCTTTCATTGGACGCGCGCGCGTCGACTAATCGCAGCTTCGGCGTCGCTGTGAACAGGTGTTCGCTACTGTCAATTTAAATTTTAGCCGGTATGGTAACATTGGAGTAATAAGTCGATGTGTAAGATACAAAACAAGTTGTTTTACAATACTTGTCATATTATCTCGGAAAATAATTAAACGATACAACATTGTCGTTAAGTTATTGTTATAGATTTTTTACGCAAAATACGTAATAGAGAATTCTTATTTATTTATTATTTATACGCGACAGTAACATCTTCTTTTCGACAATATTACATATATTACACAATTAATTATGTATTCGCCGTTATCGCCGCAAGCCAGTCTCAGTTCAGAATTAAGAAAAATTATTGACGAAAGGAACATGTTGAGTATGCGGAGCCGTATGAAAGGTATTAATCTATAAATTTTCTTATGTATATATATTTTTATATATTTATATTATATATATTTTAACATTTTTACAGTTTTACACGCATTGAATGAAGATAACGAGAAGTATGCAGAAGCAAAAGAAAGAGCTCTAAGAGCACAGGCCATTCAGGAAATCTTAGCTACAGAAGTTACCTATTTGCAACAGTTGGAAATTCTGGCAAAGGTAGGAGTTTTGTAAATGTAAATTGTACTGTATATGAAATAGTTATAAAAGTAGTGTGTATTTCTTTACAGTTTTTTATACAACCTATTCTCGAAAGAAAGTTACTAGATCATCCATTACTCGTCAGTCTACTGGAGAATATAACAACATTGTATAATGTGAGTGGCGAATTGATAGAGGGATTAAAACGCAATCCCGACAACGTGGCGGAAGTATTTCATAAACTCGCACCGTTTTTCAAGCTGTATTCCGTTTACGTTTACGATTACACACAAGTGTTACATCTAATCCAAGTAATCTCAACAAATATTTCTATCATACGCTATATCGACGAACAAATGGCAATATTGAAGTTGATCTGGACATTATCTTTTTTTTAGACAAGTGAAGAGAACAATCCCGCCTTTAAAAAGTTTATTTCTGATCAAGAAACAAGGCCGGAAGTAAGCAGGAAATTATCTTCGTTGTTGATCACACCTGTGCAAAGAGTACCGAGATATCAGTTACTTGTTAAAGAGGTGTTGCAACACACTCCTTGCAGACACAAAGAATATCGACCCTTACAGAGTAAGTGTATCACCAAGATACTTAACACAATTATAATATGTGTGTAACATTTTATGTTACTTGATGGTATTTTTTCACACAGGCTGTCTGGTTGAAATTGAAAAGTCCGCGAAGCACATAAACTCTTTGATCGCGCAGAATGAAGAGACACAGAAATTACTGAATCTTCAGAAGTGTATCTCCACTTCGATCAATCTCGTCAAACCTGGCAGAATGTTACTTAAACAGGGACCGTTGATGCGTGTTTCGAGACGCGGAAAAGTTGCTTACAAGAGATACTTTGTTCTTTTAAATGATACTTTATTATATTGTAAGGGCGAACCGGAAACTTCATTAAGCGTGTCTTGCGTTCTACCGTTGAACAAGTGCAGTTTAACTTGTGTTCTGAGCAAGAAACTGTTTCGCATAACGTGTTTGCACGAAGCATTTCTCTTGTATTCGGAAAACGATGATAGTGAGCAATGGATACAATCAATACAAAATGCTATTAACAAGGTATTTGTGTGTGTGTGTTGCGGATTATCGAGAATATCAAAATTTAAAATACTTTTGTTTAGGATATTTAATATTATATTAGTTAGATATTTAGTATGTATTTTGATTAAAATAATTGTTTACTCATAGTATACTGAATGTCGGCAAACATTGAGGAAGGAAAGTAGCTCAAGAAAGCCACTTAGACATAAAACTATTACTGAGTTCCCATCATATGACATTCCGAAAAAGTCTATTAAAAGAAAAAGATGCAAACTAGATGAACAGGTAAACATTGCTTCATTTTTCTGCTTATATAAATCACGAACTATAATAACAAATTTGTTTAAATACTTTATACAAAAAGTGAGTGTGAATATATTTAATTTACTGCAGATTTATAATAGTAAGTTAATGATTTTTTTTGTATATTATGTTATAGGTATCATTGGATTCTTCTAACATTATATACTTTAAAAAGGACAATGAAACGGATGATTTTCGAGATGAAAACATTTGTTTACCTTTCTCCACCAAAAAATTTAAACAAGACGAATATAACAAACACGACAATATTATTTTTCGGAGAAAGGGAAGAAATGTGAAAATGAAGTTACTACGTAAAAATAAAAACGAACGATTTCGTGTACCTCCCTATAAAGGCCATTTGAATAAACCGAGCGGTAGTAGTCGCACTAGCGAGGTAAACAAAATTGTATAGTGATACACAAATGTACATTCACCTGAAACCAATCTACATTGAAGTAACAATTTTTCTTTTTCAGATTGTAACAGCGACAGATAAAGGCGAGTCAAGTCCGTATCTGATCACGAGGGAAGAAAATAATACATCGCCGTTCATGATGATTAGTGATTTCTTTACATACATCGGAACGTCCATAAGAAATTTTTTTACATTTAGATAGAATTAGCATATTGCGTCGCAATATTATAAAAGAAAGAAAATAAGACTCTTTGATCTTCGGAACTTTCAAATAATTTGAATTTAGAAACGAGAAAATAAGAAACTGAGAAAAAAATTTAGAAAAATCGAGAAAATAAAGAGCTCAGTCTTGTCATCTCGGTTGCGATTGATCGAGGTAACCTGGTCGATCAATGCGATTAAAATGTGCGCATTGGTTGATCGGCCAAATTATTCGAATGCCATCGCTTCTCTCTCCGTTCACTCGGATCACTATTTTTTTTTTTTATACAAACGCCGTTATCTACCGTCGGTTTCTCCTTATGAACGTAACGAGATTTTGATGTTGGTAATACTATACATGCCAGAGAGAAACTTGAGAGCGGCCAGGCCCATAAGAAAATGTGTAATCACTTTTCCACCCTAAGCCAGCGCACATGTGGTGGAAATCCACAGGTGGTGCACATTGGCAACTACATAGCCATGTCCACGACCGACTTGTCGATTCGTACGCTATGTCCAAACAGCGTCGTTGTGGAACTTGCGGCACGTGACGTCACGCAGTAGAGAGGTAGAAAGGTACGACTCGCGTCGTACTTTTCTCACCAATCGTAAATTACCCTCTTTACTGCGTGACGTCAGGAGTGCCGCAAGTTCCACGGCAACGCTGTGTCCAAACATCAACATGGTTCTATTTTCTATTCCGTGCTATGTGCACGAGTCCAGGTTTCGAGTCGACACTTGACCCTAGCCGCTCTCCGCAGCTTCTCTTTGCTGAAATACAAACCCATAAGAATCAGAAAAAAGTAAACACGGAAAGAAATAAATAATATAATAAACACTAAAGAAGATAATATATACTAAACAAAGTTAAGGTCTATTATTTTTCGCGAAATAATCCCGGAACGCTAGAGCTTTGCAAATTGTGGCGCAATTCAAGCGTCAATTTCGACGCAAACAAAACAGACAAAATTGTCATTTACTAAAATTTAAAACATCGAAAACAAGTAATTTACAAAAACTAACAAATATTTTATGTAAAATCATGTTATATTGATATAATGTTCAAAACTTTTATTTTTAAAACCGGCAAAACTAATAATTTTCTCATTTCATTCTTTTACTTTTCACTGAAAAATTTGAGAATAACTGTTATCAAATCTTATTGTTAAAAAAAATTTATATTACTTCAACTTGCATTTGTGTACCTTTATTATGTATATGTATCGATATCTTTTAAACAACGAAATATATTACACTTGCATGTTCGATATTTCAAACTTTGAAAAACCTAACACGCTCAGACGGAAGCGAACCAACAAAAATTATTACCTTATACATATATGATATATCAAGCGAAATATCTGTGATCTATACAACCTAAGTAAACTGTTTTTGACATAGATACCTACTTCTTTCACGCACATAACAGAGCGAATGCAAAAATACACATAAGCGTATGTACGTGTATGTAAAACCCGTTCTACATTGATCGCAAGCGCAAACGCAAGGTATAGATCTCGTAGAATTGACCAATCACGCTGGTCAATTGACTGATTTGATCAATACGATTAATCAATTCTACCAGATCTGTTCTTTGCATTTGAGTTTGCGCTTGCGATCAACAAACTTACTAGCTTTTCTACCCTGTAAGTCAGCGCAATGTCCACAAGTGGTGCACATTGACAACTACGTAGCCATATCCACGAACGACTTGTCGGTGCGTACAATATGTCCAAACATCGACATGGTTCTATTCCGTGCTATGAGAACACCGACATGGTGGGGATACGTACACAAACCGAGAACCGTCGTCATACATCAACATGGCTGCGTTCGGAGAGAGCGCCATCAGCGCTGTTGCATCATTCTATCTTTATTGCTCATTAGATGTAAAAACAAAGCTCTCAGGCTTCTATCTGTACATGCGCAGTAGCGGCACACTCTGTTCAAAGAGAGAAGAACCTCCTTGCGCATGAGGAAAGAAAAGCGAGCAAAGTGGGAGTAGCATTGCGCGCGGGATTGGCGGGATACTTGCTGGCAGCCAATTGCTGTGGAGTGGAGGACTCTCTGTTAAGAAGGATGCGCAAAACAGGACGAGTTTTCGTTCGCTCATGATAGCTTCTCTCTTCGAACTCAGTGCGCATAGCTCCGAATATAATACCGGTTTAGGAACGTAGTCTTGCATTGCATATACTATCACTACTACCTACTGCTCTACATACAAAGCTGTTACAAACGCCATCGTAATCGTTCCGAATCGTTCTTCAAGCCATGACTACTCGTCGTGCGTGTACGTAAAAGAAATTGTAATAAGAGCACGTAATTTGCTTGACAGACGTTGTAATGAGAATAGTGAATTTCGTAATTGCGCATATTAACAAATAGTGTGCTGCACGTTCGACCTAGATGACAAAAAGGTAAGAAACTAGAAGGGCGGAAGCGATATCACGGAGATGACAAACAGCGTGATTTGAGGGAAGCAGCTTGGTCGAAAAAGAACCAAGAGCAGATGATTTATGTCCCTCATCTCTCTCCAACATACTATTTTTTTTTTAACTCATGTCCAGTTTCTCGATTGAAAACGTCATTCTGCATAATTTCTTGAAGAATCTTTGGAAGTGATGAAGCATTTCTCTTGCTGCTTCTTTTAGGACTAAATCAGAGTGGTTGCTTTTTGTCCTGTTCAGACACCAAAGTAATGGGCTTGTACATGACAGTGCGATCAGAAATACATACCATAGGTGTATCATTAATTTTTTTCCTATATTGTAAAAAACCTTGATTAAAAAAAGGTATTCGTATGCATATATATGCATTTACATATGCATATATATACATTGTATACATATATATGTATACAATGTAATACATTGTAATGTATACTTTATATGTATATTCTGTATGTAAGATTAGTTTGACACATTTAAAAATTTTTACTTAATGAACATTACATTCTTTTAAATGCTGTATTCAAAACAATATATTGTATATTTATAATATATTTATATTTTTTAATTTTGCTTATTGTAACACTATATTTTACGTATATGTATACAGGATAATTTATGTCAAATAATAAATCAAAGTTTTATATATAAAACTTTTTATAACAAAATTATAATTTGTTTACAAAAATCAATATTTTATTTTGTGATATATCATAGATTTTGATTGGTACAAAACAATTTTGCAATGTCATAATAAATGTATGCAAGATAATAGTTGATGAAAGATGATAGAGATAATTTTATTGCAAGAATCTTTTTTCCAATAAGCAACTTGAGGTTAAGCAATTCACATATATCTTGTTTGTTATAGTTTGCATATTCAAAAAAAATTTATTTTAAATATTGTAAATAATTTTTTTATAATAGGTTAAAGTAAAAACTAACAGTTTAATCAAAAGACAACACAGATGACAGATTTTCTATCTTTTATTATAACATATAGTTGATGAAAAAACGCCTGTTTCGCCATCCCCGATTAACTTAATCAGCCGATTATTCCATTAGAATTATCAGTCGCATTAATAATTGTTTAGCAGAATGGACCAATCACGACTGATAGTTAATTGCCGATTAAGTTAATCGAAGATAGTGAAAACGAGCGTAAGATGTTCTTATATAATAAATGATATTCCTATATATTTTACAGATTTTGTACATATGGACATTTGTAATAGATAACAATGGAAGGTCCGTTGGAAATAAATTCTGATACAGGTGTGGAAGAGCCTATAAAATCTGAAGCTTCGATACAAAATCCTGATAACAATGAGCGAAGCGATAATGCTGCTTCTCCACCTCCAAGTTGTAGCATATGTCTAGGGAACCTAGTTAATACCTCTTTCACAGACAGTTGTTTGCATCAATTTTGCTTTATTTGTCTACTGCAATGGTCCAAAATAAAAACAGAATGTCCTTTGTGCAAACAAACATTCAAATCGATCATTCACAATGTAAGATCGGAGGAAGATTACGATCAGTATCATGTAAATCGTGGATTGGCACAAGTTCCACAAAACATTACATTACAAATTCCACGAAGGCACTACTTTCATCCTGCCAGTTGGATAAGTTTAGTTAATCGACCAATTGCTTCTCGTCGACCTATTGACAGGTACATACGTTGACCTTCAATATATACTCATGTAAAAGTAATTTATATTTTTGAGTTTGTCATTTTATTATATTCAAGAAATTTCAGTGGGATTGAGAATAGCAGTTTGACAGTGCAGTTTGATTCGGTACAAGAAGAATTGCCCATATTGCGCAGTCAACCACCTCAAGTGCCTAGGGAAGAACGCAGACGTAGAATTGACAATCCTGAAGAATATCGTCGTAATGTTTATAGGCATAATTTATGGGCTAGACCAGTACCTGACTTATTTGGACGTTTTCGCGAATGCAGCTATACATACTACAGGTAACTAACATTGTACATCTGTGTGTTGTGTGTGTGCATATAAACTTATAAAAAAATCTTAATAATACAATAATGCTACAATATTATTATAAATTTTTGAAATCGTATCGCAGGAGACAACCGGAAGAATTAAGTCGCCTTGTGCTATGGTTGGACAGAGAACTGAAAGTTTTACTCAATGCAGAACATCGTGTTCTGTATGCATTAAATGTAATACGGGATGCCTTAACTCGATATGACATTTTAAGTGCAGAATTTCGAAATATTGTTCATCCATTTGTCAATATACACACAGATCATTTTCTGCACGAACTATATAATTTTGCCAAAAGTAACTTCGATTTAGTTGGATATGATGAATCTGTTATGTATTTCCCGAATGGTAGTTATTTATCTGAACTTTGCATTAATTTTATTTTTTATTTGTTCCATTTTAATTGTACGCAACAAACGTGCGTTGATATATACAAACCTATATATTTTTTGCAGCTTTGTCAAACGAATATGTAAGTCATGTAAATTCTCCAGCAACTAGCAGTACTAATAATAATAGTAGCGGAAGTAGTAGCAGTACCACCAGCAGCAGTACTGATGATGACTCAGATGTACGAATAGTTGACGAGGCAATCGATTTAAGAGTGAATACTGAAGGCCCAAGTACAGTAACAAATCCCATGCCTGGTATGAAAATGTTTTATTTTAATTTCTATATTTGCTTTGAGAAAAAAAACTACAATTGGAAATTAAGAACGTAATATACTTACAAAACGTTTATTCACAGCAAATTTCCGCGGAATATTTTGATTATGCAATTATTTGTTGATTATTTAGGGCCTAGTAACACAGGACAGAACAGAGGAGAGACATCATATTTCAATGGACCTGAACTCTTGATTGTTTCATCAAGCTCATCTGGATCGGATGATGAGTGTGAAATTATCGGTTACGTGAAACCTCGGCATGAGAGGACACCAGAAATCATAGAATTACTCGACTCCGACTCCGACCATTTAACTCCTCAACCTCCTCAACCTCCTCAACCTTCTAACGAGAATGCAGAGTTAATGTAAGTTAGAATAAGCAAAGGTAATTTTTATTTCAAACAATATTAAAATTTGTTTAGAGAGTAAAGAAAAATTTATTAAAGTTTATATAAATTAAAACTGCAAGATACACGTATAAAAATATAAGATATATATTATTGAACGTTTTAATGATTTTGTTATTTTGCAGGTCAAATGTAAATATGTCAGTAGATATGTCAGTAGCAAGTACGTCTTACACGAAAGAAGAATCAGTTTTATCGTCAGATGAAACAACAAGTAGTGATACTTTTTCCGACAGCGATTACAATCCGAGAGGAAAACGGAGACGACGAAACAGCACAAAAAAGTCATCAGGAAGAAAATTAAGTAAACAAACACATAAAGAATACATGACAAGAAGTCGCAACAAACGATCTAGGAAGAACTGCTCATCTTATTCGTGGAACGATACCGATAGTTCATCCGATAGTTCATCGAAAACTAACAGAAAACGATCAAGGATATCAAGATACAAAGTACAGGCTAAAGATACAAGACGAATCAAGAGAAAAAAAGATGAAAGCTATTCCGATAGGGATTCGTCTAGCGATGAAAGTACTACTAGCACAGAAAGTAATAATGAAAGAGATATTAGTAAATATAGACGACGTAGATCGAATACAAGAAAACATTCCTCTAGTACAAAAAATTATACAGCGAAAAATGAAAGAACAACGAGAAATAAAGCTTTAAATTCGGAGAAGTTGAAATCTAAGAGTAAAGACTCAAAGTACAGCAAAAGCAGACAATCAAGATCCAGAAGTAGCAGTGTATCGTCTAATATTTCTGAACGATATCATAGACCGAGCTATTTTGAAACGCGTCGATTGTTTCGAGAGACGGGTGAGTGTAGAAGTCAAGATGATTGTGCCTCAATAAGTAAAAGTGCAAGAAGCGAGCGTGCGTCTAAATCAGCTAACCGAAAATATTCGTCGGATCTAGAAGATGAGCCAAGGACGAGCTCACATTCAACCGATCGAGCCCATCTATCCGCGTTTGAATCCTATTCGCGTTGGAGAAGAATAAAATGTAAAGACTATCCTAGTTCCAGTGAAAGAACATTTAATTCTTCGCAATGTAATGGGGATTCTTCGGCAATGTCGGCGTCGGTAATAAGTGACGTATATTCAGATAATAAGAACCACAGTTTAGGCTGTTACAATTGTTACAAAGAAAAACAAACTTCATCTAAATCTTACAAAAGATCGAAGCACAATAAGTCTGAAAATGAAAAAAGATCAAGACCAAAGAAAAAAAGACATATTCTATCTTCCTCCAGTTCCAATTAATGGTAAGAAATTCGATTAATTAATAATGCAAAAATTGTTGTCATACAGAAGAGTGTGGAAGTTACACTACACTACCATGCTTAGTCTTTTTGATGATTATGCAGGTTTGCTGTAATGTATGTTCAAAAAAACCGATATTAAATACCTTCACATTTACTAGTTCTAGAACTCAATATCTTCTATTATATGTTTCATATTTGGATTTTGATTATATTGTATTAGCATTGTATTGTTTTAATCCTTGAAACGTGTATCAATTAGTTTAGTAGCAAAGATTTCTGTTATATACATAGCTATATATACATAGTTTTAGAAAAGAAATTCTGTACAAAGAGAAACACAAACAATATTTCTTGTGAAGTCTTCACTCGGATATGATCCACAGTTATGTATAAATTTTATTGAAAAGAACTTAAAGTTGAAAAGAGTTCAAAGTTATATACGTCCATTTGACTGTAAAAATTCAGCCTGGTTCGTATATAATTTAGATGATCTTATTGTTAGTGGATTTCTGTTAAGAGAGAGAGAACCTGAGGATGTGTTTTGTGTTTCATTCGGTTCTTCTATCTAACGCATCCATAGTTGACGATAAGAGATCGTTTAATTTATATAAGCGGTTTTTGTCAACAAAATATATTTAACAGACAAATCTAAATTTATTATATCGCATCGTTGTGTTATATATAATATTTTATCAATATTACTATGCATGCTTACAAACATCCCAATTTTAAATCCCTCCTCTCTAAGAAATAAATTAAATTTTAAATCAATTGACTAAGTTCATAAAAACACAAAGACATTTATACCCAAAAAGAACACAAAAATGTAGTATAGCGTATAGAATGTGGTTCTTGTGAAACTAATTATGTTGGTCAGACTAAACGACAATTAAAAACGAGAATCAGAGAACACTTAAATAATGTAAAAACAGAACATAGAGAAACATCTGTTTAAGCAGCACATAGTATAAATACTAGACACAATTTTAAATGGGACTCTGTTAAAATCTTAGACAATGAACATAACTACTACAAACGACTGACATCACAGAAATGTTAAATATAAAACTACAATATAATCTTAACATCATACAAGCCATTTTTACATGACTCATATTTACCATTATTAGATAAAATTAAAACTGATTCACACACATACACATACTGCTGACACAGATGGAGCTCTCACATAAACACTCACATATATGCACACGATCACTGAGTTCGACTTTCAGTCTTAGTGGACAGAAAACATATCTGCACATTTTTATTTTTTGACTAACACGTCTCAAAATCACAGGCATATTTTTCTGTTATATATAACGACAGTCGACTCAAGGTTTGTTTGTTCTATCACATTGATTTTCATTTTTTTTTTTTCAATTGTTACATACCTCATTGTGTATTTATTATAGTTTCTCTGACTGAAGAGGACTTAAAAATAAAATAAAGTTGAAACGTTTTACAATTTTAATCAGTATTGATAATTTTTGCATAACACCCAGCAATCGATTCGTATTTGTCGTTATATTTCAAACATTGTTGAAATAAATTAATTTTATTAAAAACTTTATATATCTTGGCTAATATTTTGGTTCCTTTAAACTCTATTTCTAAAACAATGCAACATCAAGAGTAACATGTTTATGTTAGAGAATTCAATGCTTATTCTCTCTCTCTTTCTCTCCAACATTTACATCTATCTTATTGTTCAACTTGAGATACAACCACATATACATACTTAGAAGAGTGGAATATTCTGTGTGAGGTAAAAGAGATGTTTACACTCAAACGTTGCATCATGTTGAACGAGGTTTACTTTGTATGTGTGTGTGTGTGTGTGTGTGTGTGTGTGTGTGTGTGTGTTGTGTTGTATTAATTTATATTTAAATAACTTATAAAAAAAAAAGAAATTACATGGCAAACATAAAAAAGTAAACTAATTTGATTTCTACATATAAGGCCCTGAACACAATAGGCAAGATATTAGGAATAGGAATAAATATTAAATAAGAAATTTGAATTATTTCTTTATAAAATAAAAAAATAGAATAAATTAATGCATAAGTTAAAAACTAAGAATTTAGAATAATTATAGATTAGAATAATTATAATAAAAACTAAGAATTTAGAATAATTAATTTATTCCGTTTTTTTGTTTAATGTAACATTTCAAATTTCTTTTCGAAATCTTTATTATTTATTCCTATTCCTAATATTTTTTATATTCTGTTGTTCTCAGGGCTTTACGCATTTAATTAGAAATCAAATAGTTTCAGAAAAAATGTGAAGACATTAATACCGGTCTTTTCGTAAGTGTATAATGAATATGTAATTATTTTTTACTACTTGCTGCATTGTTGGTCTGTATGTGCACACGCCATTATTTGGCAATTAAAACAACCCTTGTGCATGATTGTACGTCATGATTTATACTGTGGTCGAATCATTATAAATACTTGTCTTGTACTTTAACTATATATGTAGTTTATAATGCTAAACTTTAAACATATAAAAACAAATTTTTAATATTAATGGGAACATACGTGTATACATTATTAAAACCAAAAATATATATGTGTATGTGTGTATATACTTATATATATATATATACTTTTGGTTTTAATAATATGTTATCTGTTATCTGTAATAATACATATATGTGTGGTTTTTATATAAGACATAGTAAGTTCTGTTTGGAGCTAAAATATATAATCTCGTGTATAATTAGCTAAATATAAGAATATTTATACAAGTAGTATATAAAAGCGTGCAATGTAAATAAAATATAATAAACACTCAAATATTTCAATCGATTACACGTATAAACATATATGTAAATGAATCTATACTTTTAATCTTTCTCATGAGAAAATATTGTACACAACTTATTACTTTTTTAAGAAAACGTTAATTTTATTTTTATATTTATACAAATCCTTAGTTTATATTATATCTATATCTGAATATAATATGTATGATGTAATTTATGTAAAGTGCACACCTTCCGCATTAAATGCATGTAAAAGGCTGAAAGATGAAGATACATTTGTTACTTTCTGTATTTTGGTGTTTATGATGTAATTACGTCCATAAGGTATAATTTAAAGTGTATAGTCAATCATGAAATGAATCATAAGATAAATTTAGATTTTGAATAAAAATTATATTAAAGTATAATTAAATATATCAAGTATATTTAAAAAAAGATTACATATATATATATATATTATAAAACTCTATACTATACCGATCTATGTATATGTACATGTAATATGCAAAATGTTATTAATAATACTTATTGGTACCTGATAAAGTCATCTATGTCCATGGTCCTGGCTCGTTTATTCTCGGCTTCTACTTTTTTCAATATGTTACTTATCAACTGTTTCACATCAAAATCATCAGGGATAGTCTGCAAATATATCAAAGTATAACAGAAAATAGAATATATTTGGAAAAAAATTATACTCTTCTATGTTGTAATCGGAGATAAATTTTTTTTTTTCCCAATCTCTCATTTATCTATCTCACCGAGAAAAATTTACCTTATTATTTAAACTGCAATGTATTCTATAATTTTTATCCAATATTGTGGTAACTGCGGTTTGTTTGAACGCTGCAGATAGCGTTTTGTTTTTTCTAAGAAATGCAATTCGTGTCAAACCGTCCCATTCTTGAAAATTGATCGGAACTGGTGGATTTCGTGGCTCGATTCTCACTACATTTGATTCTACTTTGGGTGGAGGCCTAAAGTTATTTTTTCCAACTTTCATTAACATATCTACTCGTGCCAGTAACTGTGTGTTTATGCTCAAACGACAGTATAATTTGTCACCAGGTTTAGCTACTAAACGTTCTGCAAATTCTCTTTGAAACATGAGCACAGCACATCTGTGAAACATAATACGTCATGTCAGCTCCGTTTCCTCTTGTGTTGCCTGCATGTTAAGAACTTTACTAAGTCCATCATACATCTCTATGTCAATCTATTTCTATGCTCAAGTTTCTCAAGACTATTTATCAGCAATAACTTATTAAAAATTACAAGTTTCTGTACATGAGTTAAAACATTTTTTATAAATATACACCTACCTAAAGAGAGGTCTGTGCGAGAGCAACTTAAATATTAATGGTGATGATATCTGATACGGGATATTAGCAACACACAGATCAAAAAAGGGTAAATCTGATTTTAGTACATCTCCAATTACTATTTGCAATTTTGATTGGTATACTGTCCCTTGAACACGTTTTTGTAATTCTGCCACCATTCTCGGGTCGATTTCACAAGCTATTACTTTCTTGGATTTTTCCAACAGTTTCACTGTCATATTACCCGTGCCAGGACCAATTTCTAACACAACATCAGTCGGTCTGACGGCAGCTTTTTCAACCATGCTTTGAATAACTAAAGGATTCTTTAAGATGTGCTGACCTTTGTCGGTATTAAACAATATCCCTGGGGGCGATGAAAAATAAAATCGTAAAATTAGAAAAAAACATTTTGCAACGCGCAGAATAAAGATAAATTTATAAAATACAAAATTTTTACATCACACGCGTTAGCCTATAAATATATGCGTATATGTTTATTACCTTGTCTCTGTACTTCTTTGTGGACCCGGGAAACAGCTTGCGTACGAACTTTTGGCATTGTATCGGTTTCGAAACGTGCAGAGTTTGAATGAAATTACATACAGTCGAATCGCATTACCGTTAACCGTGTTAACCTCGATGTTGTTAATAACGTTAACATGCTTCTCGTCACCCACGTGGGATACACAAGTTTCCATGAAATTATTTACATTGCCGCGAAACATCAGGGCCGACAACACCATAAGAATGTAAGTCGGTCGCGTTTTGTCATATTCCTAGAATGCAGTGAATTTCTACACAAGATGCAGAGTCTCGTGAAATTGACTAATCAGATTGGTCGATTGGCTGACTTGACTAACGTGATTGGTCAATAACGTGAGTCCTGCGACTCGCGTCTGCATTTTGTGTAGATAGGCCTTTAGAAACGTGGAACGTTGTGCATTCTAAATGTTGTCTATTCCGATAACAGTTGGTGATACTGACAAAACGAAGCGTCCAAGCGAGTTTTCAATTTGAAACTGTAACGAGTGTAACGACTCTGTGTATTTTTTCACGCTGCCAGACTGCTCTCAGTCTTCTCTCTCTGCTAAAATGAAGTCTGTGTGAGTATTTTACAACCAATAAGTAGATAAACTTTGTTTGTGATCTCCTTAGCGTTGCAATAAAATTTCAGCTTAATTCTATTAACTTTTATCCGCTACTTTTTCCCCTAATCCCAACGCACACATCACACACATTCTTAAATCTTCTCGTTTTTCAAACTAAACGTACTGCTATTATTATATTTGATTTAAAAAAAGCATGCTAATCTTCTGTTTGAATATTTTAGTCGTTCCAAAACACCGGCACGTAAGCCGTTTATTCGACCAAAAGGATCAAATATGACATCCAAAGATCCCGTACAAGTTTACTGTCGTTTACGACCGATGCAGTTTTCAAAGGACGTATCGTGTATTCAAGTTACAAGTGATACCACGTTGGTGATCACACCACCTGGATCAGCAATTAATTTTCGCTCAAATAACAAAGAGATAGAAACGACATTCACTCGTGTGTTCAAGCCTGACGTGACACAGCAGGAAGTATTTAAAGTGGTTGCTCTTCCTCTCGTTGAAAATCTTGTACAAGGAAAAAATAGCCTGCTTTTTACATATGGTGTAACAGGAAGTGGAAAAACATACACAATGACCGGAGATCCAAAGGAGGCAGGAGTTATGCCTCGGTGTCTGGATGTTATTTTTAATACTATCGGAAATTATCAAACAAAGAAATTTGTTTTTAAGCCAGATAGACTAAATGGTTTTGATGTGCAAAGTGAGGTTGATGCTTTGGGTGACAGAGAACAAGCTATGCGTATAAAAGAGCATGACCTTAATACAGATTTGCAAAGAATGGGAAGACCAAAACAGTGAGTTTTCTTTATTATGTATTTAATGTAAAAACATAAACATAAAAGTATTTTAAATATGTTAAATATATACTTTTTAAAAAATACACACTTTTATAAAAACTGTATATATAAATCATGTAATATTTTATTGTAATTACACAATAGCTTCAAAATGGACAGCGATGGAGACAGTAATCCAATAGTGACTCATGAATGTAATGAATCACAAACTGTACCACTTGATTCCGATAATGGATATGCTGTATTTGTAACATATGTTCAGATTTACAATAATTGTGTATATGATCTGCTAGATAAGGACGATATTAGAACGAAGTAAGTAATAGAAATATAAGACTTGTCAATTTATTTGTTGTATACATTACAATTTTATTTAACACAGAACGCCGCAAAGTAAGCTGGTTAGAGAAGATGGCAATAAGAATATGTATGTACACGCTGTCACAGAAATAGAAGTAAAAAGCGCAGAGGAAGCTTTTATGCTGTTTCAGCAGGGGCAACGAAAAAGACGCATCGGGGAAACTGCGTTAAATGCAGAATCTAGTAGATCGCACGCTGTCTTCACTATTCGCCTTGTACAGGTAACTATATATCTTTCAGAACTTTTCTTTATCTATATAAATGTTTTTATATATTTGAACAGCGAATGTTTATAAATTTTTTTCTTATAATTTAGGCACCTTTGGATTGTGAAGGCGATTACGTAATACAAGATAAACGATTCATATGTGTAAGTCAATTATCTTTGGTGGATTTAGCGGGTAGCGAGCGAACAAATCGTACTAAAACAACAGGACAACGTTTGCGTGAAGCGGGTAAGATTCTACTTGGAGAGTTTTTAATTTGTACTTGTGTATTTAAATATTTTTGTGTACTCCTGTTTAAATGGATAAATTTTACTTCCAGGAAACATTAATAACTCTTTGATGACACTTAGATCGTGTTTGGAAATTTTAAGAGAAAATCAGTCTCAAAATGCCAACAAGATGGTGCCGTATCGAGATTCAAAACTCACTCATTTGTTTAAAAATTATTTTGAAGGCGAAGGACAAGTCCGAATGATAGTGTGCGTAAATCCAAGAGCAGATGACTACGACGAGACAATCGTACGTAGCAAGATATCAAATTTATTCTTCGTAAAATCCTTTTGTGCGTTACATATTACTTTATCAATTCGTTTTTTATGTGCAGCAAGTTATGAAATTTGCGGAAATGAGTCAAGAAGTCCAAACTATGAGATCTAATCCCATAAAATTAGATCTTGGTTTAACTCCTGGAAGAAGACAAGCAAATAAGGTAAGTATTGAATAGATTATTTGTAATCAAACGAAAAAATGTGTGACGTTTTACCATTATTGAAAAATTTATGATTTTTTATTTAGCAATTCAAAGAAGCAAGAAAGAAATTTGAACAGGAGGTGCGACCAGAAGCCGCTGATTTAGAAATCGATTATGGTCTGATATACAGGTATATACACATATGTGTTATTTAAAACTTAAAAGGAAAATAATTTAAAAATGGTTTTTGATTGTGTGTTGTTAAGCTTTTCTGTCTCACTTTCTGAAATATTGAATATATTTTCAGTTTGGATGAACCATTTCCTCAAATTGAACCCTATACTGCGAGCAATGATCAAATAACGTATTCCATGATACGATTTTTGGAACAACGAATCAACAAACGCAATATACTTCGAATGGAGTTAAAGAAAAAACGTGAGAAATTTATTTCGAACAAATAGTCTATAATTTAATTTCATAACGTGTAATATATTCTTATCTCGCATATGTTTTATTTGTAGAAGAGGCTTTTCGAGACATTTTAATGACAATAGAACAAGAAAACAGGAATTTAAAAAATGAAAACGAAATATTAAAAGCTAACAGTGTGCGGTTAGAAAAAAGGGTATAATTTCTTGTTTATTGACATGTGTGCAATTACGACATGTTACTACGTATAATTACACATATTTGTATACATGTATATTTTTAGATAAGTGCGTTAGAAGGGCATATTTGTAAAACAGAAACACAGAACAATAATCTTCTACGTCAGTTGAGTGATGCCAAGGAAACTATACGAAACTTACGACAAGACGTAAGTGTTAATTTGTAAAAGATGTCTTTCTTTGTTTTCTCTTTGTAATAATTAAATTATTTAAGAAAAATTGTTTTTTTCTTGTAGATAAGAAGTCGTGAATCTGCGTTGAATCAACGTGAGATAGACATGCAAAAAGTAAAACAGAAATGTAATGCAAAGATACAAGCTAAGACAACTAAGATAAGAAGAGAGTTAGATTTGAATCAACGACAGTTGTGTGAACAGCTTCAAGTAACTATTTTAATTTTTATTCAAAATTTATTTGTATGTTTTTCTTTGGCGTTTTAATATTTAAATATAAATGTTCATTTTATATTGTTTTTCAGAATCAGATCAAAGACAAGGAGAACAGATTGCAATTGGTAAAACAAATCATTGACAACAACGGTATTCCAGAAGTAATTCCAACGAAAAAGCAAGATTCTCAACCGACAACAAGAGTAGCTAGTCCGGAGAGCGATACTAGAATATCACGAAAGGTTACTTTTTATTTATATTTTTACCATTTGTTCTCAATATTTTTAATAACAAACTACAAATTATGTTACATACATGTATAAAAACACAGGATAGAATACCTGTTTCGAATCCGAGGTACAGACGATCGCAAAGTGCAGACAGATGGATTGATCACAGACCTCAGGCTCTTGTTCCGATTGGGACTGTGTTACAACCGTTGATGAACAGAAGACGAAGCGTGACACGACTGACTTCTCCAAAAGAAATCACGGATGGTGCATCTAGATATTGCCTTGTCTCGCAAGAACATGACACAGACGGAGAACTTGAAACAAAATTATATAAGGTTGATATGACGAAACTTTTGTATACACACAAATGAAAGGAAGTGTGTTTGTCAACAATCCATATGATCAAAGTAGCAGGATGACGTTCTTTGACGTGATAATGACGTCGAAATAACGTGACCTTGTTACCTGAGATAACACAAGTAGGTAATATAAAATTGATTTCAGGGTGACATTCTGCCAACAAGTGGTGGTGGGGCACAAGTAGTATTTAACGATATGGAATGTTTAAAACAATCATCGCCCAAGGCAAGGAAACGCACCGGAGAAGAGAGAAGTGAAGATCAGGTAGATGCAGCCACATCAACGGAAAACAAAAGACCACGAGTAATGTCGTCGTAATCAAATATTTATTTCTTAGATAACAGCATAGGTACTTGACATTACATTTCTTTTATAATGCTATTGTAATTTGTGTAAAAAGTTGCATAAGATATGATACATTTTATACTATATTCTTATCTGTGATATTTTCTTGAGATCTACTTTCTCACGCATCATTTTTTATCATAATAAGATTTATCGTTTTTATCAAGTTTGAGACAAAACAAGTTTCTATATGCGCGTAACGAAGTTTCGTGTACATAACATATTTTCACGTATTCGTGCATTCAACGAGTAATGTACAGAAAAAAAAGGAATAGGAGTGATTCGTGGGAGTGATCTCTTCCCTGATTGGATTGTACACAAAGGTCACAGCAAGAGATCACTTTCACGAACTTCGCAACTCTTTTTTTTATGCATTTTATTATTCGTATAGTATGTATGTACACACTATACAGTAGCGCAAAAATACGTAGATTTTTTTTTCACTTCTTCACTTTCTCTGTTTTTTCACTTTCACTTTCACTTTCACTCGGCTTTGAAACAATTCCTTAGATGACAAAATTCGAACTTAGGACTGTCTGATTTGCACTCTCACACCCACGAGGCTGCTAGATAATATAAATCAGCGGTCGATACTTTTAATATTTTAATTTTACCTAATATATCATATATATATCACTTATATAATTTCAAATATATAATGTGATATACCATCTGATATAACATGATGTAATATGTGATTGTTGTGTTGCATAAGATTGAAGTATTGAAAGTATACTATACATATATAATGTATAGTGATTGTTTCGAACTTTTAGACTAGGCTATTTTTCTTGCTTTTCCAACACAACAGTATATTTATTTTCAATATATTTACTTGATAATATTTGCTTCTTAACTGTGTTCTGTGTCTCTCTCTCTCTCTCTCTCTGTTTTACATTTCTTTCATATCTTGTGTACTTTTTTATAATTAAAAGATATGCATATTTGTATATATTTTAAAATCCATTAATAACTAATGTTAAATGTAATTTTATCTATGCATTTCATATTGGTTCCTGATCAATTCTATGTAATTGTAAACTGTCAGGTTTTTTTTATTCGAACTCGTTGGTGCGATACTGATTTTTTTTAAATAAACAGAGACGTTCCAATCGTTCTTTTGTGACAAAATGAACAAATTTTATGTAATATTTATTTCTTGACATGTAATAAGATTGTTACTTTTTAGAACAAGAACTTGAAAAAACTGCTAGCAGTGTTTGCTGGCGAGCATGTGACAAGTTCAAACCGACTTTTAAATATTTATTCGCAGATCTACTTGGTTGCGTGAGAAAAAATATCAGAGATTTTATTAAATAGCGGTTCTTAGCATTGTAGGCAATCGAGGGCTTAAGACCTTAGACTTCGTTTCGAAATAGTCGCAAAACTCCGGGGCTGACCAATCGCATTGATCAATTCTAGGGATTTTGCGACTACCAATATACGAAATTCAACCATTGCAAATCAAGCTTTACTAGTAATCGGTTTTTCATTGGCGACAACTTGAATATTGCTTACTGATTAATATATGATCTGAAGCTTAGTTTAGTAATCTATATGGCAGTCTATGGTAGAGGCCGGCTTTAACAAGTTTGCAACAGTTGTTACGCGGGTAACATTGAATTGCATCAAAACACGGATTACAATCTGAATAAGCGCATACTAGCGAGAGTTTTTCTTAAATTATGTTCGAAAGTGACGATTGGATTTTGGAGGTAAGTTCTGTAGTGATGCTTAAAATTATTTTTATACACGTTGCAATTAGAGCAGAGTAACAAATTTCGATATTGAGTATTACAGTTTCAATAATACACAAACTTAGCCTCAACATATTTTCATTTCACATGTAATTATTCCAGGACACTTTTAACAATGTCGATGAGAAGCCGGTGCAATCTCGAGAAGAAAAAGCCGAAGAAAAGACATCGCCTGCCAAGAGGCGTAAAGTGAACAGCTGCGAGATTTTGTCCTCACTGGTGGACAACACTGTCGCTTCGAAACCAAATGCTATAGAAGTCGTTCCGAAGAACAATTTTTCCTGTAGCGGTAAGAATTGTGTGTCGAGAGAGAGAAATTTATTATTAGATATGTTTCGAGAAAAAAAATCTCCAGAGTCACTCAAAAAGTCCACAAAGGAAATAAACAGAAAGTTATCAAGTCTTTTGCAAGAAGAGATATCATCTAATCAGATATCTAAGCCAAATTCAACAACGAATACAATTGCCTGCAAAATATCCAAAGATAAGAGCCATATAAAGTCTGTAAATAAAACAAAAAGTGGTAAGAGTGTAAAGTTTGTTAGAATATTTCCCGGTCCAGCTGGCTTGGTACCAGACAGGACAAGTGATGATATTACTGTCGAGTCATATTCAAATGACAAAACAGAATCAGAGAATAAAACAACCATGAAGCACATAGAGACAGATTTGCCCAAATCATCCCAGGACGATAAGAACTTGTTTAGTGAGAAAGCTTGGAATCTCCTGCTAATTGATCTGCCGTATAATTTTTTCAAAGAATATGGAATTTCCACCATTAAAAATAAGGCAGATTCTAGTCACTGTAACAGTATGAAAGTAAAATTCATAGCAGGTATATTAGATTACATAGATTATAGTCACGATGATCCGTTTATTGTATTGAAAGATTCGACAGGTAGTATAGAAGGCACTATTCATCGCAACATTTTATTAAAATATCCTGGTATATTAGACCCGAATGTGGTTATTTTTGTGCAAGACGTAGGACTACTGAAAACCAAGACATATGTAGTGACTAATAAATATCATATTTTAATTTCTCAGAGAAATTTACTAGCTATATATTCTAATAAAGGTCGGATAGTAAGCACACCTCAAGTGGAGAGTGTCTTGTCTAAGATTGTGATAAATGAAAATTGTGATAGTACACCTTTGCAAACTGCCGAGTCTTCCATTAATGCGTCAACTGTAATTGCATCGGTGAACAATTCGCATCGAGTAAACACAAATCTCAAACAAGCTTGGGAAACAGATAGTCGGAAGAACAAACTTGCAAATGAAGAATGTCAATATTTTGCCAACTCTACAAGCACGAACGACTTGGACATGAATGATTTCTTTTCGATCGATTGCGAATTTGAAATTACCGAGGAACCGAATCGTTTTACCGAATCGTCAAAAGAAAACTTGCAACCTAGTGAAATTGAACGGTTGCAAACGGAAAATACGAATCACGTAGAAAATAGCAGAAGAGACCCGGCAAGAAGTTCATCAAATAAGCAAACTTCGTCTCAAACTTTTCAGACACGTGTCGCGAATTCAGAAGAAACTGTCGATATACCGGATGGAAAACGCAAAACGCATTTTTCGTCGAACGATGGTGCAGCTCACGAAACGCGAAAAGAAGACTCGAATTCCAAAAACTTAAAATCCACGAAAGCGCTGGTGAGCTATTTTACCGGTGATAATGAATATGATTCGGATGATGAAATGTTATCGCAGTTAGACGTGTAATTAATGTTTAAGGTAAAGACTGTTTATTGCTAAATAGAGCGAGTTCTACTTCCGTGGATGTGACTGACATTTATATTGTGCGAGATTCAACTTGAACAATATTAATGTAATTACTGTATTAAAAAATGATTTTTGATCACATGTACATACACAAAAATGATTTTTGATCACATGTACATACACATATGTATATACATATATATATATATATATATATAATTCTATATTATATATATATTATAAATTATTCTACATTATATATGTCCGAGAGGTTTTTGAATACTTCGATATTGAGAGGAATATAAAGAATATATACTTTTGTGTGTAAATTATACAATTAGTATTAGAGTTATTTCAGATAAAAGTTATCTGCAAAAATCCTATTTCTTTGCGACCTTATCTCTCGCCCAAGTTTGCAAAATATTTGTCCTATTAGTCGCGCGCTTAAAGCTCGCGATAACAGACCGACAGCTTTGTACGATTCTCGACTGGCTATGCAATAAAAAAGAAAAAAAAAATTAATCTCATTTTATAACTTTGTACTTATGTGCAGCAGTTATGACCGACATGACGGAATGCATTTTACTCAAAATGCGTACGATAAATGTTCCATTATGTTGATTTGAATTTGGACGATCAAGATCAGAATTGATGACATGTTTGTCGTTGTATTGTAGTGATATTTATCAAACAACGGAAAACAGGAATGCGATTCAAACACGATAGATTCAGTTGCGACTTGCACGCGAGTGCACGTTTTAATCTCCATCGCTGTTTTATCACCCGGACACGTTACGATTCGTAATACCTTTCGCAGTCGGTTCTTTCAGCAAATTATTGGACGGTACATCACAAGGTCAATCTAATGGATGCACACTGATGCACACGTTAACTATCGATCTCGCTTTGTCACAGAGCGACGCGATCCTTTTTTTTGTAGCATTAAACAAATCAGGAACATTTTAGAATACGATCAAGTCACGAGAAGTGAGAAAAAAGGAGGAGGAAAAGGGGATTGCGCGGAAGGAGATCAACAAACTTTACAAGTAAGTCGGTTTTTGTGTCAAACAAAAATTTACATTCAAGAAACGCGATAATAAAAACAAAACTGAAGCACCCAGAATCAACAAAAAAAAGATTATCGCTGTATCGTATCTCCAAAGTGGCGGTGAAAGTTGTATCATTCAGTTATGAATAGCATGTTTGTTTTTCAATAAAAATTAAAACAAAAGATATCGAGCTCACGAGACGCGAGATTATCGGTACGGCAAAAATGTGCAAACGAGAGGATTAACAAGCATCGACAATTAAAATGTAGGATAAGCGATAAAGGCCGTTCGAGTATCGCGTTTATGAGAATTATCTCGATCTCGAGTATTACTCATTTACATTTTTGTATGGCATGTGTCAATGTCAAGTTTTACGTGTTGTTTTGTCATTTTTCGGATGCGCACGAAATTTCACGTATCGAACGACAAAAATTCTCTCTCGTGTTTTTTCGTTGCAACAAAATCTACATATTTTTGCTGTTTCTCTCTCTCTCTCTCTCTTTCTCTCTCTCGCTCGCTCGTTCTTAATTCTCTCTCACTTGTATTCTTAATACGCGTGTCTTATGTGAATTTACACACACAAATCCATCTGAACCGAAAGGAATTAAGATAAAACATCCGTTTTTTTTAACGACTTATTTGTCCGGATTAAGAGCCACCTTCTCTATCTTAGATCGATCACGTGCGTTTGCGCAACAAGGTTGCAGGTAATTTTGTCACGTTACATCCGTGCAAGCGCATATACATGATAACGCCTAAATAACGAATCGCTCGGCACCTGGTTTTCCTCCGTCAATTTTCATGCCAATTTGCATTTAGCGCTCACAAATCATTTGTGTGTAATTTGTTTTTTTTTTCCTGGTTTTCCTTCGTTGTCTGTTAGATAAATTTTACAGATTGGTTGAACTCTCTCCGATACAAAATATATGTACATTAGGCGGCACCCAATTTTGACAAACGATCAAATCACGCGGATTATTTCCAACAGACGATGAGTCGCGTTGTTCTCGTCAAATGGTTTGGATATTCGCGCGGTGATAAAAAAAAAAAAAAAAATTGTAATAATTAATGTGTATATTCCTCCGAAACACAACGCAAAGTGATTTTCTCGCTCGTTTTTTGTGCGACAATTGAGTGATTCGGCGACATCTTTCGATACACATCTATAATTCGATATCGCTTTGTTATTTGTCTCTTCCGATTATATGGAAAAAAAAAAACGATCAATCGCGGAATTCGAACAAAGTGGAGTCGGACGTGTTCCACTTGCTGGCGCGACACTTCGCGGAGCTCGTTCTTTTTTTTTTTTTTTTTATCTCCTGGGTTAATGCCGTTATCGGAATCTCGAGTATTCCTTATTATTATCACTTATTTAGACGCGTTTACGGCGTTGCGAAAGTTTCGGCGAAAGTCACGAAAGAGGGAGGAAAGGGGTGAAGAGTGTCGGGTGGTTTACGCACATTTTTTTTATTTTATATCCGCGAGACGTGCGGGAAAGAGGAGGAGGAGGGGGAGGGATAGGTAGGGGAATATTCATATGTGTCGCTAACAACGAAAGCATGTCGCACCTCTCTCTCCTCTCTCTCTCTCTCGCTCTCTCGCCCGGCTCTTCTCTGTGTCGCGTTGTGCGACCGACAGTAAAATACGACGGTGCAGTTCGCTTCGACACGTTCGATACGAAAGAAACCGCGCGTCACATTTGTGCAAGGTACTAATCGCATAGAGCAAACGTTCCGCCGTATACCTCGTGCTTGCATTCTGCTTTGGGCGAACCCGCGCGCAATTAAACTCGCGCAAGTTCAAACAAACGAACTTTGCGACCGCCCTCGCTAACGCGGTCAAAGTTCACTCGGCGACCTTGCGCGCCGCGATTGATAACGAAACGGCGACACGTTCTCAGCAGCTTCCGCTTTTGCGATTCCGTCGTTGATTGCTCGAATTTCAAGCAATTCCGACGCGCTAGAATCGTAATACGCGAATCCGTGATACGCGGTTTGTGTGTCCCGCGCGCATTTCGCGAGAACGAGCGCCGCACGCGCTTCGCCTCTCGTACGTACGCGCGTGTGTACACACATACGTACATACGTTCATGTGTACATAAATCTGTTCGCGCTTACATACGTTTGCACGGTGCTAACATTTTTCCGTGACACACACCGGAAGTCCGCGGTTCGCCGAGCAAACACGCACGTCGTACGTGAAATTTCAAGAATTTCGCGCGCCGCAAACATTTGTTGGCGGACCGTCGTCTCGGGTGGCGAAACGCGCGTGCGAGCGGAAGCGCGCGCGCGCACACGTGTCTTTCGAAGCCGCCCGTTGTTGCCGCCAAGAAAGAGGAAAGCGTCAAAAAGACTCAAAAACATCGATATCCGTATGTATATAATTATTATCATTATTTATATTAAAAAATATCGTCGTGTTAGATTTGTTTGCTTTATAATATTTTATTACATGTACATATATTATTTTATTACATGTTTTATTAACATATATATAACGAAAAGAAGACGAGAAAAGGCGAATCAACAATTTTAACTTCGTTTTCGTTAATAAATTTTTGACGATTGTCACGTACAAGCCATTACTGTATCGCTCATTGTTTTTTCAGATAATGTGCGGTGTAGCGATTAGTTCGAGTCGGTTCTTGACTTTCTGTGTTCTTTGTACGCTCGATAAAACCACCATTTGTTCACGTGCTTTGTGATGTATTGCTATTAAAACCAAATATTGTAGCTTGTGTGAACACAACACACATGCACAAAACGTTGATACGAGCGCTCGAAGACATTGAAAGCCACGCGTTGCACTTTACTCTCTCTTATTCTCTCCTTGTTTTCTCTCTTCAGATATTAAAGTATGCGAAACTTCGAAGATATTAAATATATACGAAACTTCGTCAACAAAACTTCGAATGTTTTTACACGCGAATGTACCAAATGATCGCAGATGTGTAATCTTTTTTTCTATCCTTGTAATGATTTTTATACTATGCGTTATTCGCGTTATGAAACTTCTTTATTGGCCTCGACATATATTTATAGCAACAAAGATATCCGTTTGATTGAATTTTTATTACGGCGAAAGCAAAATACTTGATAATTTTTTTTTCACACAATAATGTTAAAATACAATACTACTCTGTGCATAAAAAAAAAAAAAAAAAAAAAAGGTTTGAATTGATGTTTTAATCTAAACGTGAACCCTATCGTTCAACCTTGCCTTTATTACCTATCATTTATCAAGCAGTGCATTAACGATGTCCGGTCCGCATTTACAAGGACGCTCGATGACATGCAGTTCGTTGATTTTTTTCTTTTCATTTTTTTCTGACTTTTTTCAAATTTATTAGAACATATTTTATTCGAAATGACTGTTCACATTACTCGTGCGAACTACAAAAAACTACGCGTTTTTGTGTCATTAATGATACTTACTTCGCCAAGTGTGTTAATTTATTCGTAATTTATGCCTCGCCTTATCTTCACGCGCTTATTTTTACGTAAAAAAAAAAAAAACTCGCATGAGACACGATCGAAAAGAAGAAAAAATAACGTTCTGATTTGTCGATCGTATAATATATAATCGATTCTAAATTGTTACGTAATTAAACGTTTTTTTTTTTTTTTCAAGACAGATACAAATCTGTGTCAAGTCGATCGAAAGTTCAACGAATAAAATTATAAACGCGTGAAAGTCGTGACATTCCGTGTGTTACGCGCGCAATAGTAGTAATACCCCTCCTTACCCTCGTCATTCTGTAAGATAATCAAGATATGCACATGCGTTACGAAATGTGTGTTCATGCGAGAACCAATGGAATTGCACACTCGATGTGTTTCTTTTTTTTTTGTTGTTTTTTTTTTTATCAAGGAAACTGGATTAACGATGAGGAAGATAATTTGCATGAGATTAAGCACGAGACTGTATATGACGCAGATACTTCCGCTTGCTTATTATAGTCTGAAAATCGTATCTGTGATTGTATATATATATATATATATATATATATTGTATATATGCGGTAATAGCAGAGGAATTCTACATGAAAGGCGTGTAAAACTCATATAACAAACGGAAAATTTGTAACAAAACGTTGTGAGACAATCACGAGGTTTTCAGCACAGTGTTCGCGGAAGATTGTGTAAACGTCAACAGTTTAACTAATACTAATAAACACATTATTTTCTCAGACGGCATCGTTGGCGGCTAAAGTAATTCTTAGCGTCTCCGAATCGTTGGATCGCGGAAGGAAAGGAGCCGTCGTGTGACTACGGAACGACCTAATTAAACAAATTCGGAGTTATGATTGATGCAAATGGTGAGCATAAAGAACGGAATGCGAAATAGTATTTTATCTGCCGAACTGAACTTATTCTTATTTCATTCGACAGGTTTACATTTCTTTGAAAAATGTTTATGTTCATTATTTCTGTGAGAAAAACAAAAAAACTAGAAAAGTTCTCTTAAAAAAAAAATTGATCTACAATTTTATAATGGCGTTTTTTTTATCTACTGCTTTTTTCAATACTGATAATAATATTATAATGTTGATACCAATGTTAATATTTTTAATACACAAATGAAACAATTCCGAAAATGAACACAAATCCCAGTCTAGAACTTGCACGAACGTGATAATACGCGATGCCAAACAAGAAAGAAAAACCTACAACTTTTTATCACTCCAGCTCTAATATCTGTTATTTTGCTTATACGTAATGCGCATCTGCGTCATACCTGTTGACAATTTTTCATCGCAACAAAAAAAAAAAAAACTGTCGCGTGAACACTCAATTACGATAAGTTTTTGTTGTCTTCTCTTTCACAGGCGGACTGAACGACAATAAGAAGCCGGATGTTTCGTGGCAGAAAATTCTCACCGATCACAATGAACATCTGGTATATGTAATATATAATAGTTGTCTATTTCTNTTNTTTTTTTTTTTTTTTTTTTTTTGCACGCGCTTAATTATCTTTACACACTTATGTATGTTTATTATACGCGTATCTTTATTTTATACCTATGTATCTTTATCGCACGCAATTAATGTACATGTTTTTTGTTGTTTAGCGTATCTACAGTTTCGAGAAGAGTTCGCTCAGGACCATTCTGACATACGTGTCGTACATATTGTCCATCGGATTCGTCCGACTGTTTTTTCACTGGTATCCCCGGTTGCATTTGTACGCGACTCATCAAACGTGTACCTTGAGCCGCGCGACAAAAATATTAGTCATAGTAAGTCACAATGTTGCGGTGTATGTTGTATAATACATATAATTGCACATCGTCGTTATACTTATCCTACCTCTCGTCTCATATACACATGTATAGAAAACAAAAAAAAAAAAAAAAAAAATTCCACAAATAACGATAACGATGTTCCCGAATTTAGGATGATTATCAGGGACACGAGTCGTATTTCGTGCGAGATGTGCAGACAATTTCTATTACGGACACAAGGTACGTACGAGCACGACAAATGAGACATTCAAGTACAACCTATAATTAAATTCGAGATCTTATTTTCGTTCGCAGCGCGAAGATTTCGCCGGACAAGATCAAGGATAAGAAATTGAGAATCGCTCTGGAGAACGGCACGCGTTGCGAGATACACGAATACAAGGCCTTTTTCTGCAAGAAGAGATGTTACATCTGGGACGAGACGAAGAGCGAGTTTTCGCGACTCGTGGGACTCGATCACGGGACGACATGTTCCGATCTTCATCTCTCGAGCAACGTTGGCTTGTCCAAGGAGGAGCAATTACTTAGGTGACGTAGATTTCGCAGAAAGATATTCACGGTCACGCGCATTATTGTAAAAAAAGAAATATACATAATGTCTCTAAAAGAGCAGTTCTCTTTTCTTGCAGCTTGAAAAAAAAAAAAAAACGATTTGTCTTTTTATGTTATTACAGACGCATTGTGTACGGAAACAACGACATTGTCGTGCCGGTTCAGAGCATTGGCGTATTGTTGCTGCTGGAGGTTTTGAATCCGTTTTACATCTTCCAAGTATTTACTTTAGCCGTGTGGTTCGCCGAAGGATATCTGTATTACACTATAGCTATAGTGCTGATGTCGTTGTTCGGTATAACGAGCTCTATAGTGCAAACGCGAAAGGTCCGTCGTGTGTACACCGTAAAAAAAAAAAAAAAAAATCACTCACTCACCATAACGTTTAATAAATTTTAATTATATGTCATTAATATTGTTTAGAATCAATTAAATTTACGCGGCACCGTCACGTCCTCGGCAAACGTGCGCGTGCTTCGGGACACCGGTATCTTCGAGGATATCCCCAGTAAGGAATTAGTTCCCGGTGATCTGATAGAATTACCGAAGCATCAAGCGACTCTTGTGTGCGACGCGGTTTTATTAACTGGACAATGTATATTAAACGAATCAATGCTGACGGGTATAAAACCATTTGCATTTTTTTTTTTAAATTTTTTCTTAAATTTGTTGTTTTTAGAAAAAATTTAATTCGCATTTCAACGATTTCAGGCGAGTCTGTGCCAGTAACGAAGACGTCGTTGCCATCGGGCAATGTGTTGTACGACGCTAAAGAGTTTACGCATCACACGTTGTACAGCGGTACTACGATAATACAAACTAGGTTTGATTTTATTTTTTCTATTTCACTCTTTTTAAAATAACAAATTTAATCCATCTCGCGGTTGCGGACACGACAATTGATGATGACAAATAATTCACACAGATATCGCGGCGATCGGCCAGTTCTCGCAAGAGTAATCAGAACTGGTTTTCTAACTAATCGAGGTGCTCTGATCGCGGCTATACTTTATCCGCCTCCGGCCGATTTCAAATTCGATAAGGATTCTTATAAATTTATCGGCATTCTAGCTGTGATCGCAACTTGCGGTTGTATATATACCATAGTAACCAAGGTAATCTCAATCATTATGAAGATGTGTAATAGTACACGTGTGTATATATTTATTTTGTAGATTATTTTTATCTACTCTTATATATTGCTTTGATATATAATTAATTTAGAGATAAGTGATTAAGACTTAACACGTAATGATAAATAAATCAGGTTTTGAGAGGAATTCCGGCTGGCGATGTGGCGATTAAAGCTCTAGATATCATTACGATAATCATACCGCCGGCGCTGCCGGCCGCGATGACCGTAGGAAAGCTGTACGCGCAAGCGAGATTGAAACGCGCGCAAATCTATTGCATTAATAACAGGGTCATCAATGTTTCCGGCAGTATAAATTGCGTGTGTTTCGATAAGGTAAGAGAGACAGAGAGAGAGAGAGAGAGAAGGGAAAAGAGATAAGAGAAGATCACCACGTGGTGCTGACCACATGGCGACAGGCAGGCAATTTAATATAATAAAGTTAACGATAATAATGATGACGACGATGATGTTCACAGACAGGAACGTTAACCGAAGATGGTTTAGATATGTGGGGCGTCGTGCCGTGTACAAACGGCGTTCTTGGCGAGGCCGAGACAGATGTACCCAAGCTGAAGAATCATCCCCTTTTCGAAGGGATGCTGGTTTGTCACGGTCTGACCCTTATCGACGGCGAGCTCGGCGGCGATCCTTTGGACGTGAAGGTAAATCGGAATCACAAAAATAATTTCGCGCAAAATACGAGACGCTTAATGATGTTACGCGTTGCAGATGTTCGAAAGTACCAAATGGATGTTGAAAGAATCGGATTGCACTCACGTAGACAAACACGACGCGGTAGCGCCGGTGATCGTGGGACCGCCGCCGCAGAGCGCAAATTGGACGGGAAATTCGAGCGACGTTTCGGAGATCGGTATAATACATCAGTATCAGTTCGCGAGCTCGTTGCAACGAATGTCCGTAATTACGCGCGCGTCAAACTCGGATGGCTTTCGAGCCTACACGAAAGGCTCTCCCGAAATGATAATCAGTCTGAGCAAAGCGGAAACTGTGCCGAACGATATTTCGCTCACGATGGAGCGATACACGAGACACGGTTACCGCGTAATAGCCATAGGTCGTCGAGCAACAATTTCTGAAACTAGCGCGGAGGTATCTATCAATAATTACCTTTCACTTGCGTGTGCAAAAATTCAGTCGGTTCAAAGGTACAACGTGTATATATGTACATATATCTTTGACAGGTGTCAAAACTGTCTCGAGAAATGGTCGAGCAGGATTTGGAATTCTTAGGGCTGGTCATTCTGGAAAATCGACTTAAACGACCGACCACACCGGTTATTGCGGAATTAAGAGAAGCTAATATACGCGTGGTGATGATTACTGGTTCGCAATAAACGATATTTTACATTTTCCTCTTCTGCAATCGCCATAATTATCTATAATCAATTGATTTAATGATTGCGGTTTTTTATATTTACAGGAGATAATATTCAGACCGCGGTGAGCGTCGCGAGGGATTGCGGAATACTTTCGGCCGCGGAACACGTGGTAAACGTAGCGGTAACTTTGACGGGAGAAAAAGATCAGCCGGAAATATCCTTTAACGTTCAATCTCGATCTCAGAAATTAGTAAGATTGGCAAATCTCGAACACTTGTAGAAAGAAGAGCACGGTCACGCGATATGTATTTTGTTTCATTTTTGTTTTTTGCAGACACAGGATCAAGTCTTCACCTCGTCGACGATCGAAGACGTGGAACGCGGTATACCCAGTTGTAATTACAGATTCGCTCTAACGGGTCAAACGTGGCAAGCGTTACGGGAACACTATCCCGACCTCGTAGGCCGCATTTGCGTGCGCAGCGCGATATTTGCCAGAATGAGCAGCGATCAGAAGCAACAAGTGATCATGGAACTTATGCGGCTCGGTTATTACGTAGGTAAGTGAAGGAGAAAATTTATACTTACGCAAAAAAAAAAAGAAATATACTTGTGTAAAAGAGAGAATATTTATTGCAATAATGAAAATATTATATACGTAGCTATGTGCGGAGATGGTGCTAACGATTGCGGAGCATTGAGGGCTGCGCACGTCGGCATATCGCTCTCTGAAGCGGAATCCAGGTAAGAAAAAAGAGACACGTGAGTTGTGCTCTCACATATATCAATCGTCAGTCACGATTATTTTTATTTCCATTATTTCTTTGCAGCGTGGCGAGTCCTTTCACTTCTAGAATAGCTGACATAACTTGCGTTCCGAAGGTGATACGAGAAGGACGTGCCGCGTTAGTCACGTCGTTCGGAATCTTCAAATTTATGGTCGGATATTCCCTCACCGAATTTCTGTCGGTCATAATATTGTACTCTATCGACTCGAATTTAACGGATCTGCAGTTTTTGTTTATCGACATTTGTTTGATCATCAATTTCGCCTTCTTCTTCGGCAAGACACGCGCGTACAACAAGAAACTGTCCAAGACGCCGCCGCAGACGAGTTTGTTGAGCTTCACGCCACTTTTGTCTCTGATGGTGCACATGTTCCTGATGACCGTTTTCCAAGCGATAGCGTATCACGCTGTCCGGGAGTTTTCCTGGTTCGTGCCGTTCGTACCCACGAGCAACGTCGGATACACGTGCTACGAGAACTACTCGGTCTTTTGCATCTCCATGTTCCAGTACATCACGATGGCGATCATATTTTCGCGCGGCAAACCGTACAGACGCGCGATCTACACGAACGGCGCGTTCACGTTTTCTATATTTTTGCTAACTGTAATATGCGTTTACATCACAATTTATCCCGCGCAGTGGATATTACACGCGCTGCAATTAATCTTACCGCCCGATTACGATTGGAGAGTCATCATTATTGCGCTCGCGCTGGCCAATTTTCTCATGTGCCTCTTCGTCGAGAGCTTCGTGATCGAGCGCGTGATCGAAAACACGCTGAAGAAAAAACTGTACAAACCGGAAAAATCGAAGAAACAATATTTGAGAATAGAGTACGAATTGAAGAATTGCGAGGACTGGCCGAAGTTCGGCAGACAGCGGCCGATATTTTCTATTCGGCGGAAGGACAGCGTGTCGCAAAATAACAACGCGAATATTACCGGTCGTCGTGCAATCAACGTTTCGTGTATCAATCAAACGGCGAACGACGTCAATCCGATCACGTTAACGGGCGATAATAAGATCGTGAAGGAGAGCGGATTTGAAAATCTCGGTTTCGTAGCCGATCACCTATAATAAGTACAAAAACTAAAATTAAAATCAATCACAGATTTGTGTATGTATATGTATATTTTTGTATGTTGGTTTTCTCGCGTAAGTCGTTTCTAACGATATAGCGATTGCGACATTTGTTGTGTTGCAATCCGATGATGACAGTATTCACGTGAATTATTGAGAAGTGTGTAAATTTGCATTTGCAAATTTTTATATTATGACATTAAGTTTATATTATAATATTAACTGGTCGAACTTCTTTTGTAGAAAAAGACGTGTGTTTTCAACTTTTATATATAAAACTTAAATATAACTTAGAGATAGTAATATATAAAACCTAGAGAAATCATGTTCGCAAGATAAATTCATAAAGAAAATACAGTTTTTTCTACTAGCAATTTAATTTTAACGTGTGCTTGTAAAGAAAAGTCGCATTTGTTGTAACTATGATTTCTCGTATATTTTGTGTAATGGTTTTTGCTACTTTAGTTTTTTTTTTTTTTTTTTTTTTTAACGCAAATATGTATTAAAAGTTTTTTTAATACGTATAATAGAAATCTTTGATTGCATCGCGCGTGCACTTTTCCGGCACGATAGTGCAACTTAGAAATATTTTGTTCTCAATGAGGAAAATAGTTTTAATTAAATATTTTTATAGATAAACTAACACATACAAAAAAAAAAGATTTTATTTTCTTGTTTCTTATATTTGTATCCGCTATATTTTTTTCATAGCGTAACGTATTTAAGTTGTATATTATGTACATATAACTATAAATTTTACTTATATATGTATATACATATATATAAGTAAAATTTTTATTTAAAAATTATATATATATATAAAGAAAAACCAGCTTACACATGCGCTATATAGTATACTAATAAAAAATATATGTTTTTTTTTAACAAAACTTTATTGTCCATTTTGACTCTAATGTATAACTTATTATTTAATAGTAAATTTGTGAGTCTATGCAATAAAATAAGTTACAGATCATGAGTCTGGATTGTTTATCATCATGTGACCCTATTATCTCGATTTTCTTGGCATTTTCTGAAAGAGATGCAATAAATAAATTTAATATTGGAGTGACGCGACAAAATAAAATTAGCTTATTCTTATATCAAATCTTACCAATAATAGCCTCGTGGTTTTCTGCCAATTTTTTCCGAACCCAATGCTTAAAGCGTAAAATTATTTGACTTATCATTCGAATTGCAACATCATCTACGCTTGGTCCCAAGAGTAAGCTTGGTAAGGTTGCAACAAAATTTTTGAGTGCCTTTTCTCTGTCACAACGAAAATATAAATATGTGAGAAAATCACATTGTTAATATGATGTGCTTAATTATACGCTATATTGTACATACTTGTGTAATTCGTACAAATTGCACTCCAACAAAATATCACCGACAATAAGAAACAAATGTGATTGCAATTCTTTTCTAGGTAGATGAGATGATACTTTTATTATCAGTCGTAGAGTGTCATTTAAACTAACAGAGTTCGCGTACCAAATCGGGCTAGCTTTTAAAAACAAAGTCCTAAGAAGTTTGCTTAGTTGTGGCACCACAGAAGAATCGATATGTTCGATAATATCTGCAAAAAAATAAATATCTCACAAAGAAAGACCCGATAATTAGTTACATTACACAGAGCTCAGAAGTTTTATACCATTTAAATATTTCAGAATGGATATGCAATAGTTCTTGGTAGATTTAGGAAATTGCTTTTTCTGACCAACCACAGACGTAAACCAAACATGTATTTGACAAAGTCCTAAATTCTGCTCTACGCATTCCTCAGCACAGTTTAATTGAGAAAAATCGTCTTGACGTTTTCTGATTTCGTTAAGCTGCTTCACTTTACCATATGGAAATCTCGACAGAAAATTCTTCATATATACTTTATGAAACGTATCTTTAAACCAATGCTTCATGCGCGCAGTGTTGTAATCATCACTCGATGTATCGATATACTCGATAACAGACTGTATAATTTCAACAATATTTTTAAGCAACGAAGCTGCCTCGCTGGTAATCTTAATCTCCGTGTAATCTTCAATCTTTTCCTCGGGACAGACCTCGAGCCAAATGTCGAACATCAGTGGCATTAACAATTTTATGTGTGCTTCAAATTCTTCCATAGGTAATGCTTCTGTATTGCTTGATATTGAATTTAAATCTTTTTCAATATTAGTTTCAGCATATCGAATCTGTCTGCTATAGATGGGAACATATTTGCTGTACTTTGTTTGTTCTGTAGTTGCATTTGAACGTGAGCTTGAATGAAGCTTTTTATAATTTACAATAGAGATAAATATATTAGCCAAACGTTGTAAGACTTTGATTCTCCATTTTACACTGGTATTGTTCGAGTTCAGTGTGGTTTTTAATTGTCTCCCGTGTCTAACTTCATTGTGTAATGTACATATCAAGCCCAAAAAATTTGGCAATATTTTATGACTATTTTTTACTAACATACTTCCACAATTTTGTGCGAGCACATCCAAGAAAAGAAGAGAATCTTCTTTTACATGAGGGTCAATATCTGTCATGGCACATCTCAAATAAGAGATCAAAATGTCGTGAAAAGGTGTTAATTGTTCTTTTGAAATAGGACTGAGAATTGAATTTAACGCACTTAATGAATCTCTTCGTATACCTTTCTCTTTGTCAAGAGACAAAGCTACAACTCCATGTAACAAAACACTAAGTTGCGAATGCAAAGTTTTTGGAGAATATTGTAACAAAATTTCTTTTAATTGCTTCAAAGCTTTTTCTCTCTCTCCTGAATTATGATGCTTAAGACGTTTCAAAAGATCCTAAAATCAAGTTCAATATTGCATTAAGCTTATCTCTACCAAAAAATTATTTCATAATGCATATTGATTAGTATATTATACAACTGAGGCTCGTAATTACATTGATGTTGAGTTTACGAGCACTAAGAATTTCCGTTTCATCTCGTTGCTGTAATTGTCCGCGTATTAAAATTTTCTTCGATTTAAACGACGTATCTGTAACGTTTAAACCTTTTGGTAGGTGTTTGGTCTTGGATTTTAATTTTACTTTTGCCTTTTCTGACTTTAGACGTTTTGAGCGCTGACCCTTAGCCATAGTATCAATATGCAATAGTTACAAGCTATAAAATAAAATTTTGCACATTAAAGATCAAAAATTAAACTATAATACTTATATCAATATTATAATCTCTAACTAGAACTTATGTAAATATTTAAAATGTCGTTCTGAAGGTTCTTAACATACTTATTCCGTACTACTTGTTCTTATTTTATCGTTAACAATTGTTCTTCATATAATTGTTTAATATATCCTTAACTTGGAGACTGTGTAACAATAACAAACATAAGAGGTTAAAACAAGGAGGTTATATTCCTCCACAACACACACACGACGCCAGAAAACCAACTAACAAAATTACTAGAACTAGGACGAGAATAACTCGAATGAGAATCTCGAGAATACAAACTTAAGCAGAAGCGATCGAATTATAGTCAAGAAAATTTAGTTTTTATAAAAGTACTTTATTACCATTTTTGATTGCAGCATTACTTATATTGTAGAACAAAATCAAGTTTTTTACATATTTTTCTTGGAAGCAAAAACTCGATATAATTTATATTCTTTCACATCATTTTAAAAACTAACTATATTACAATGCGTAAAAAATATGAAATAAAGTTGTACATCCATACATATAATAGCCCTTTGAATACTTATAATGAAATAATTGAAGTCATTTATATTATACTACAATAATTTAAATGATAAAAAATGAATCAAGTGAATAAAATTGATATATACAACATTTCATGATGAAAGGCATCACAAAGCATGTGTCTATACGTATGTATAGAAGAGAATGGATAAAAAATCATATGTATACAGCAGTTAATTTCCAGTTATTTCTTTTTCTAAGTAGATGTTTCTTTTTATATTAAGACATCAGTTTTGATATCTGAGAACAGTGGCGTAGATAACTGCAAACAAATATTATATAACATAAGAAAATGTGTACATAAATTATTTTTACAAACATACAAACGCACACTCGTTACATCATAGAATATAGTATAAAATTCCATGTTATAACTTACGTTTTCTTTGTTCTGACAAAGCTCTGAGTTACAATTACAATCTGCACACATGATATCATGTTTACGACACAGGCATATTTTTGTACTACACTTCGTTTTACAAGCACATTTAATTTTGTCGAGTTCTAGGCTTCTACTGTAAGTCAATCGTTTGACCGAAATCTTTGATTTATGCTAAACAAAAAGCAAAAGAAGATTGCAAAATTATTGTTACAAATGCTTTTATTTGGATTAGGTTTTTCTTTCCTAAACATAATCTCAGAGCATTATTACCTGTGTTTTTCGTAAACGATTGTAAATCGGTGTTTTTGTCCAATCTGGATCGTTATCAACGTCGTCTTCTATCGTCAAACTGTCATCATGTATTAGTACTTCGTTAAATTCATCGTGGTCTTCTTTTTTCCTTCTCTTTTTAGAAAATGATGATTTCTTTTCCTTATTCGAATTATTTTCTACCAAAACCTAAAAAAATACAAATTATATACACATACTGATTTCATATTGACATATGTAAAATATCTTTCTTTTTTAATTACATGTTTTCAGCTTGTTGAATATTTTAATTAAAAACAAATAAGAAAATGGCAAAAAAAAGCTAACACCAGATGTTCGGGTACAATTCTTTCATACTTCAAAAATTTTAAAAATGTTTTAACAAACGTTTCGATCCACTATGGGATCTTCAGTGTTTTAATAAAAACTTACAAAACAATAATGATCTATTCAAGATCATGAAGAAAATTCTTATTTCTTTCTTTATTTTTCGACAAACCATTATTTAATATAACTATCTCCATTCGATCGGCCCAGTGGCCTCGCGTACTAAGTGCGAAAACTACAAACAGAAACGTCCCGACTTCGATTTTTCCACACTTTCGGATTTTTTCAGCCAAATGTATCGAGTAGAATTCGAACTAAACAAAGCCTTCAGTAATTCGGAACCCATCTCACATCTTGTAGGTCCATCACACTCAACAAGAATTCAAGCTTGAACGACGCTATGCCAACAACCTTGCTCCGAAGAATGTGTTGTAACATAAGCTACGTTTGGACTAATCATCCGACTAACTGAAGCTTATCGCAAGCAACACAGACAAATTAATTGTGTTGTAACCCTATGTTTCTGAAGAGAAACGCGAATAAAGAAAAAACAAATATATCTATTTACTTACTTGTTCATTCATTTCCATCTTCAGCTTGTATTCTTCTACCTCGACTTCTAAATTCTGGCACTATTTTTAAATAAAAAGTTTTAAGAGAAATTCTTTGAACTTTAATATAATTATATACAATATGTATTAACGTACAATACAAAAAATTATTTACCAAAACTATCTATATATACTCACTTGCTCAATCAATTCTTTCTCCCGTTTTCTAGCTTCGTCTAATTGAATTACCATATATTGATATTTTTCCTTAAATATAAGTATTAACAGTAGTTTTACATCTTGATAATTTTACACTTTAATAATAATGTATATAAACTATATATATACTAACTAAATATATATACTACATATATATACTAACTTTAAACTCTTCGTTTCTATACCGTTGTTCCTTCTTGTCTTCTACAAATATGTGACATGCCGTTTCGAGTGCTACCTTAGCGTCCGTTGTTGTGCGTACTATCATATTCCATTGGTTATTTGCTTTATTCTCTAAAAAAATTTATTTTTTATTTGAAGACACATTTTTCTATTTACATTCTTTAAATAATCTCATATACATCTTACCTTGCTCTGACTCGAGAATTTTTTGTTGTAGATCTGCAATTTGTGTATTACGCAATTTCACAAATTCACTCAGACTACACAGTTCTTCTTCGTCTGGATCACTAGACCGTTTCAACTGTTCTAACTGACTCACTAAAGACGCTCTATCTTGCTTCAATTTTTCAAGAGAACAGTGCGCATCTGCAATGGCCATGAGTACTTCTATTTCTCGAGCCATCCATACTTTTATTTCATCCTTGCCGTTGGCCTTTTTCTCCTGACGTTCAATCGCTCTTTTCTGCATTTCCAACGCACTCTGCGAAGAAGTTGTTCCAATTAACAGTCATACACAGAAAAACACTAAGAAACCACAAGAAACATCTTCTTGACTATATGAAAACACATACCTTTAATCTTTTGTTAGCAGCAAATGCCTCTTCCATTTTTCTCTTAAAAACGTTCTCCTGTTTATTATATGCTATTTTCATGCGCACCATTTCAGTGGCTCGTTTACGATCTTGAGACTTTAATCTGTTTATTTCCTTCTCTTTAGATTGCTTCCACTTGGTAAA